CATCGGCAGAGAGGCCCCATAGGTGTTTTATGGCACTTGGGTGCCCCCTCCTAGGCATCTGTACTTTTACTCTCGTGGACTTCAGCAGAGGGCAAATACAAAATCTGGTGCCAGTTTTTTTCATCAGCAGTTTCTTTGTTCTTTGGGGTTGGTGCCACCAACGCCAGTAACAAAGCAGGGTCAGGAAACATGTCAGGCCTTTATAGGTGACTTTTTTTTTTAATTGAGAAACTTGACTGAACTAACCTTTGCCATTCCAGACAACTGTCTCATAGCATTGGCCTCCTGCTTGCCCCAAAGCCAGCCCCAGCCACCACTCACCAGCCTGTCATACAGCCGTCTCCAGGATGTGTTCCATGCCGTATCGTCTAAACAGCATTCTCGTCCTAAACTGATCGTTCTTCAAATCCACCACTACAGCCACACAAACAGAGATCACACCCACTCGGACTGGGAGAACTGGCACCTTCCTTATTAATTTATGGCAATAATTACAAAGTTAAGCATATCCATTTCTTTGTGAATGCATCCTTCTCCCTACACCTACTGCTCCGTCATTTTCCTTCCTAAATAGTCAGTTCCTTGTGTTATGTCTGTGTAGCACCTAAACTATGAAAGCCCAAATCCTCATTTGTTTTTGCAGGTATGACTGTAATAGTAAGTTCTGCACTTGAACACGGTAAGTCATGCACAAGGAATTTAGAATTGGCCACAATTAACAGTGTCTGTCTTTTTCCTTAAGGTTGCTCTTTATGCATAGGCGTTACAATACAAACCTCCGTCACACGACCACTTTTTCTTTGTACGACCGTTCAGTTCACAAAATGGACGATGCTCCCTCAACGAGCAGCTCTTCAACACTGTTCAGCATGTAGCCCCAAGCCTTATTCCACACTACTCAAAGGGATCAAGGTCAGAAATACCCCTGCTCATTATCCAATTTGGGACTCCAAGGACCTTCAGAGCAGTTGATGTTATGCAGCATTCCTGGATTTCAGCTTCAGTTCTGAGCGCTTAAAACTTCCGCAAATTTGATTCCAAGGTTTTAAGTTTGGCATCCAAAATAAGGACTGCCCAAGTAGCGAGAACCCAGGAAATGCCTGGTTTAAGGGACTTGCCCAACATCCCTATGGAGTGCAGCGCAGAGCTGCCTTAATCGTGACACCAGCTTTTCTCTGAAGTCTCCTGCCTCCTTCCATACACACCTTCCAGTTTCTGCAACAGCTGTTGACTCCAAAAGCCTAGATTTATTCCCCAAGCACCATTTACCTGTGCACTAAAGATGGGGGAGGAGGGCAAGGTAGAAAAGACTGGAAAAACAGTATTAAAGACTACATCTAAATACATTTGCAAGTAGGCTGCCATCGTAAGCCTGGGATTGCATTTAAACACATTTAAGACACTCTGCATGCAGAAAAAGATCTGGATTTTCTTCCTTTTATTTCCAAAAACGAAGTGGTCAGCAGGCTTGGAATCCAAAGCTCTCAGGTTGTAGATGCACGCAGTACCTACACAGATGTGCTTCTCTACCCTGTCTGTGACCACAAACAGCGGTCAGTTTGCCAAGATTGCACAGCCGATCCAAGTCTTGGCATTTAGCTTTCAGAGTGGTTGACTCTGTAAAACTGTAACCTTAACATGTAATTTCCCGTCTTAAAAAAACAGAAACTACATCCTATGGGATCACACCGATACCCACTGGTAGGGCTGGAACCTGTAGATCCATGACACAGATCTCTCCCCTTTGAGCTGAGAACAGTAGAAGGTTGTCACTCCCTTGTAGACCAGCAGTACATTGTCAGCAGGTTTGACAGAATGGTGACTGGGGAATTTGGGGTCCATTCCATGCTCTGGGGACAGCCTGCCCTAGTCAGACCTCTACATCCAAGCTCCCTGCACACCTGATCTCCTAGCTTCTTGCCCCAGTTCTTCCCTAACGTCTTCCCAGACCTAGTCTCGTTATCTAGCCAGTCCCAGTTTTCTCTCTCACCCAGCCATTTCCAGTCTCCCCAGATGGCCCTTCATCCAGTTTCAGAACTCTTCCCACCCGCCTCAGCAATTAGTTCCAGTCTCCTCCGCAGGTACCAATCCCGGCCCCACCCCTCTAAGCTCAATGGCAGGATCTATTTCTTCTACACCACCCACCCTCTCAGCATTAACTATCTCAACCCAGCTTACACATGAACTTGCAGTGACTTAATTAAACCAGTCTAGTAAGACCTGTGCAGTCTCCTGTACAGTCCCTACACTGCCTGCAAACCAGCAGGGAGCTGAGAAAATAGTGGAGGACCCATCTTGCTCTCAGCTCATGTGTCCAGAGCCACGGTGGGTCACAGCAGCCAGGAACAGTAATTACAGGGAACATCTTGCTCAGCCCTTGCAGACCTGGGTTGGACCATGCCCAGTACCAAGAATCACCTGCCAAGTGCTAATAACAGTCCTCCAGGCATGGAAAGATTGAGCTTAAAGCTTTGGCCAAATGAAGGCAGGTTTGGGGGGAACAACAGAAGATTGCCCAATATCAAGTCCCTGTCCCAGAGCACAGAGGTGCAAGAGCATCTCAAGGACCTGTCAGTTACTGCACCTCCTTCAGTCCAATGAGTCAAGCTTCCCCGGCCAATTTAGGTGCTAGAGACTTTCTCCCCCTTTGGTCAAGATGATTCATACATGCATCACATTGCTAAAAGAAAACCTTGCCCACGCTTCAGAAGCTCCTACAAATCCACCTAAGCAGGCTGTGACCATCTTCCTGGGGCAATTTCACAAGGCACGTGTATAGCAGAATGCCTCGAGTCTACCGCAGTGGTTTTTAACCTTCTTTCATTTGCGGACCCCCAAAACGTTTCGAGTGGAGGTGCAGACCGTTCTGAATTGTAAGTGTGGGTATTCACATACTTTTGATTGATCTGTCATCTTTGGCAGACCCCTTGGATGTACGGTCCACAAACCACAGGCTGAAAACCACTGCGTTACCTGAATGCCAGACATCTGGCTGCATTAACTCTCTCAGCCCAGCTTACATGTGAACTTGCAGTGACTTAATTAAACCAGTCTAGTCAGACTTGTGCAGTCTTCTGTACAGACAGCTGTAGTTTAGTTTTAGAGTGATTATTCCAAAAGTGACAGGTTTCAAATGGGTTTCCTATGGTGCCCATCAGCAGACTGGTGGACACAGGTCTCCGGCCTGGAGAGCTGGAGGGGGTGTGCAGACGCTGCTCTAAGGTGCTGAGAATCAGGGATGACCATCTCTAAGGCAAGCAGGTATGCAAAGGGCAAGTCGTGTTTTAACAAAACACCAGAGGCAAGTTTTTTATTGTTACTAAAAACCAGTGCTCTAGTGTTTTAGGCCAGGGCCTCCCCAACTTTGATTGTATAGACCATGTGCTGAGAGAGACAGTGTCACTGACACCTCCCGCTCCAGCCACACCCAGACACATTCTCCCTCCTGCTGGTGACCAAATGCAATCCCTACACAAGTAAAGCAATTATTTCCACGTAGAAGTGAGATTAGAAAAGTAATCATGTATTTGTATGTGATTTAGCAGCTGGAAAGAAACAGCACCATGTGCCCTGCCAGCACCCCACAGCCCCCCACCAAGCACTCCACAGGTCACTTATGGTCCAGGGACCACAGTTCACACACCACGTTTTAGGGCTTCCCAAGCTTGCAGACTGTATAACGGTCGACGCTTCTTCACAGTGAGAGCCAGCAGGTCATCTTTGGTTGCTCAAGTGAGACACGGCAGCTCAGTTTTGAGGACGGTACTCTGTATGGCACCAGGGCACGCTGGAGTCATCCTCGCACAGAGCTAGCACGCGCTCCGACATTAACCACTGTTAATCTGTGCCAGAGAAGCCAGGGCCCAGACTTCCTTTGGGCAGAGCTGGGAAGAGCACTGTACCACTCATAGCACTCCATTCACCTCTTTTGTTTAATGCAGTAGGTCGCTTTCTTTTTTCAATCCTGCAGGTCCCTGGGTTTCTTAAACACAGCATGGCAACCGACAGATGCAAAGGACTGTGGTGGTAGCTGGGTGGTAATGGAGGTACAGGCCATTGAGAAGGAATGTCATTTTATCTGTTTGAAAGACGACAACCTGTTGAGAGAGCTAGTACTATGACAAATCACCAGAAAATGCCAGCGTTCCCAAGTCGCAGGACACGCTGCGGTCACACAGCTGCACAACTGAGCCAGGAGCGCTAATGAATGCCCCACGGGTCATCTCCCAGCCTAACGCTGGTGCATTTGAAACCAGGCAGACCTACGTTTGCTAGCTGCTCATTGCCATGAAAAGGTTTCTCAGGCAGCAGGCCCCTAGTTACGGCAAATGCTCTCCCCCTCTTTTGGTAGACACACATACAGACACACGCGGGATGTACGCGGACCAGGATCCAGAATCTACACTGCGCCGAAGCCAGCCCCGCTCAGGGCCGGTGCACATTCAGAGCTGTCAAAAGGAGAAGTCGCGTTACTTTCTTTAAACTTGCAATGTTTGTCTTTATTTTGTTCTTTATATTTTGAAAGTGAAAAGAAATAGTATTGAGTCAATTTCTTTCGTTTTTTAAATATTTGTTCTATGTATTTACAAGCCTTAAAGTTGATCTAAAGGTTCTGAAAGTATCACTAGTACTTTTTTTTCCCCAGGGTAGCACTGTTTTGAACGAGTTATTTTTCGGAGCACTCTGGTCCACAGCGGTTTTCTCAAATGCATTTCCTCCTGTTCCAAAGTTATGTACGTTTGATTACTATTTTTTCTTTTTAATTTCTGAAGCAAGCGGAGAGGCAGGCAGAAAAATCTGATGACAATTAAAAAAAAAATTGGATCTCTTCCTCACCTAGCTCACCCCAAACCCCCTGGAAAGTTTTGTCTATCTACCATGCTTTGAAACAAAACTGAGGTGCATCTGAAGGGGAGGGACATTTATTTTTCTGCTTTTTTTCTTCTATTATACAATTTGTTTACAGAAACTGCAAATTTAAAAATTACACTGGCATTTGCAGTTCTTAAAATAATAAATTAAAAGTTTTCAACTGTTTTTTTTTTTAATTTTTGCTAAACAGATCTGTTTTTTAAGTATGAGTCCTTGCTTAAAAAGGAAAGGAAAAAAAAAAAAAAGATTAAAACAAAATATTTTCTATAAATAATACATGTGTTTTGGTTTAGTGCTCCCACCCTCAGGTTTGAAGTTTACTTATTTTTTTTCAAGTACCTTATTTCCTCCATGATCACCTTTGTGTTTATCTATTGTTTCCTCTCCCACTCGTGCATGTGTGGGGGAAGGGGGGGGTTCTGCGCGAGAATTGGCCTTGCTGCACTGTGATTGGCGAAGACGTGAAACTTTTTAAAAAAATACTTAAATTGTTTCTTTGTTTGCTTTGTTTTCTGTATTTTAAGTTTTAATTATCCTCTGATTCCTCTTCCGCCTCCCGTAACCACGTGAAGAACGCAGTGACTGATTTCAGTGCTACTCCTTTCCCGTTCTGCTCCGCCGGGTCCTTGCTGCTTTCCCACTTGTAGAAGGCATCCTCTGATATTACCTCCTCGTCATACAGGCAATCGAAAAACATCCGCAACAAATCTGCAAGGGGGACAACATCCATTTAGTAGCGCACAGTAGCTGGAAGCCAAGGAAAGAGATGGATAATTACCAGTCTCTCAATAAAGGGGCCTTTGAGATGAAAAGTGAGGAAGCAAGTCTAGGGAATCTCTACTGATAGCAGTTGTGTCCTGACTGTTTGTGCCCGCCCCCTGCCATACCAAGAACCATTTTTTTTTAAAACTGATAATCTGCAAACTTTGGATGGACAACCAAACTTTTTTACATAAGGGACAAAAATACTTGATTTGTGTAGTTCATTATCACAGACGTGCTTTGATGCCCTCCCCCACGTCCCCAGAAGCCAGGGGCTTTTAAAAATTCTCAGTATCATTCAACACAGCGATTCACAGCGTTCGGTCGCACCCGTGTTCTGTCGCAGTTTTGTAAAGCAAAACCCATCCTCTAGCAGTGAGAGCTGAAGCCTCCCTGGGCCCAGGAACATCCACAGCTGAGCCCAGAGGGAGACAACCCATCCACCTCCCTCAGCCAGTAATCCCCTGCCTATGTCCCTAGAAACTGCGCCGGGTGCCAGCTGCTCTCCCCCAACTGAACTTCCCCTCAGTGCAAGAAGCAGGAGAGGAAGGGCGGCATCTCCCTGAGCAATGTCTCTCCTCTGCCAAATCACGGTGTGCTCCCTCACGAGCAGCCTCCTGAGCACTCCTCCTCCTGCAGGAGGTGGGAGAGAGACACCTGCACTGCTGGGAATGGGCCCTGAGCAGCCCCCTTTGCTGTGGCTGCCGCCCCGACCTTTACAGCCAGGCCATACATTTCTGGATGACTGGCAAGCCAATAGCATGTGGGGCAGCCATGTACCTCAGCGCCCACAGAACGTGCTGTGACGTACTGCACTGAAAGGCACCAGCATGCTTCCATGGGTGATCCACCCTGAGCCTCCTCGTTTCACTAGTCTTACAATGCCGACACCATCAACCAGCTGTGCGCTGCAACACAGGCACCTACTGCAGGGTTTGAGCGTACCCTGTTCATCGCCTACATGGCTAGAGCGATGGCTACCAATACTGGCACGAGCACTGAGAGAAATGAAAGGCACTGGGATGTTCGGTCTTGCTCTGCCCCATTCCTCTCTGAGACTCCCTCACCGTTCCAGTTTCTCTGCAAAATACCTGAATGGCACAGCCATAAAAGGCCGCGTTCTGCGCTGTCTTTGAACTGTCATGTATTTCAGACAGGACTGGCAATCTGTCCCACTCAGTCCAAGATCCTGTATACCTCTATGGCACAATGTATAAATGCACTGACAGTTAAGGGAGCCGTCACACTCCACAACTGGCTGGGCATCTTAGGTGTAAGCACAGGACTTTAGTTTTCTCTCACTCCACATCACGGATGTTTCTTACACTCTCTCACTGAGTGCTTATAATGGGAGCAGCCAGAGACCATCTCCTTCAGCCAGGAGCTTGGGGGACAGCCTCGCTCTCAAGTCATGAAGTGGGTAACCAGGTGCTATAACATCTCTGATATCACCAGACTGGCTACTTGCCCCCATCCCTTAAGACCAACCCAAATGGTTCAATTCCCTGTTCGGGAAGAACATAACCTCTATCATGCTCTATCTGAGCCCTAGGTGTACACCTGGCAACTTTCCCTCTCATGCCGCATAATCATTTTTCAAATCCCCGACACAGAAAATACTTACTAGGAGGTTGATCAAGTTTTACTATTGATGCTTGTAGTGCATAAAGTGCTTGTAGTTCCTTCTCTGTATCTGAGTCTAGGTACTTGAGTAAGATCGGCACTCTCTGTTTGATAACAGCAGTGTCCACACGGAAGCTAGACGAGTCCGCTAGAGAAAAGAGAAGAACTAGAGTTACCTTTGGTGGATGCGAGGCAAGGGGCAGGTTTTCCGTCATCTTTATTTATTCAGGACGCTAGATGGGAAATGGAAGCTAGGTGGTCTCTGAACACGGGCTCTCTCCCCAACAGGATCGTGTACGCTGTTTCTTGGAAGTCCCCAAATCCAAAGAACACCTTCAGAGACCAAGTCATTTGTTCTGCCAGACCCCTACCCAGATTTTGTGTATGTGCAACAAAACTGCGATCACCTTAGCTAACTCTTGTACAAGCATTTGAAGACTCAAACCTCTTAAGAAGAGAGAGAGGCCGGTGCTGAACTCGTTACTTTTTGCTATGAGGTTTCCAGAAATCACTACAAACACCTGTTCTTTCAACAGCAAACACAGGAATCGAAACCAGAATCAAAAGTTAAAAAAAGATCTAAGTATATAACAATTGGTTAAGACATCCACAAAAAGGACTTTGCAGGCAGCTACTTATGCAAAGAGTCCTAAAAATTGTCCACTCCAATCCTCAAATGCCATAGCCACAAAAGAGAGGACAAAGCTGAAACACCCTACAATATAGAAAAAACACTCGGCCGCTTTCAGGCAGCATCCCCTGAGAGCACAATTTAGAGAGCTTTACCTTGGTAAAACAATGAAATAAAAAATAGACAGAGGTAGTCCAGAAAATGGTAACAGAAGACATTACTGATTTCTGCAGAGCACAGGCCGAGCAGCAACCAGCGTATCCATACTAAGATCTTGCCGCATGTGAACTTTAACGCTAGGTGGCACCAAAAAGATTTACTCTCCCAGGGAAAAAGGAGCTCTGGATTTTTCCTCCCTCTCAAATCCATTCCACAGAGAGAAGAAATCCAGTTGTACTCCTTCCTAGAGCAGATGCTTTAAAAAAAGAGAACGGTTTTTTAAAGCTCTGAGGCCACGTGGGCATTTCCGTCCCTGACCCTGGAACACGGCAGCTGCTACACTCACACGGTCCCTGTTCCTTAAGGGGGGGTCACTACAGTATTGAGACCACACCACTTTCTTTTTCTCTAGCCTCACACTTTGAAGGAAAAACTCTGCAGTCTTCCTGCTCTGCAGATCCCTGGAAGCCTCAGCAAAGATTTCACATCCACTATACAGGAGAAAAGGCAGGGCTGCTTGAAAAGAAAACAAAGAAAACTAAAAGCAAAAGCCGTATCTACAGAATGAGACCAGGGACCAAATCCTGCTGCCTCGTGAACGTGGCTGTCACTCGTACAGCTGGAAGCACAAACGGGAATTTTATGAGCGCTTTTTTTTTGTCTTGCCAGATGCCAGTAGTAAAATTACAGAGATTGAAGGGACTGACCAGATGTTTTCACTGGCCAGCAGCACTTAACGAAAACACCCCGGAGGGTCTGATGTTCTCATTTTCTTACTCCAGAGCCCACACTTCCCTTGCAGTTATAACTGACTGCCATTACCGTGGGGAAGTTCGTGCTTAATGCATATTCAAATAATTGCTTTAAGTGGCCTTTCCAAAGAAAAGATTTCCTTCAGATATAAAACCCCTGCTAGTACTCGACAGACGAGATGATTTCTTTTCCATTATAACCCATGGTTCCAGCTCGTGTGTGGGCATCTGAGAAGATACAATAGGTCTGCACGCTCAGCGTGGCAGGGGTGGAAAATAGCTGTCAGTTAAGCCTGGAAAATTAACAAACTGCAATTCGATGCAAGTGGCAGTGTATTCTCGAGAGGCCAGGGGCACTGCAGGCAGGATGCGAGGGGTCCTGGCAGATCTGCGCTGAAGGAACTGCCATGCCCTGCTGCCGTCTGGCACCTGCCAGTGGTATCAATATCTCAAATTCTGCAACTTGGGACCAAAACCTTAATGTGCATCTGGTTTTGAAAATCAGCTTTAAAGGGAAAAAATAAGCTACTAAAACATAAACATCTCCAAATTAATTCTTCCCATATTTGATGTTTTGTCTAGCGGTTACCTTGACAGTTACTTACCTATAATAGCTGCTTTACAAACTGCTGTCATTAAAGCTCTAAGGAATGTAGGTGAACTCATCTGGCTTTCATCTAGATTAGCCTGAAACCAAGAGCAAACGGACCAGTTAAATGCACACTTGTGCACACCAGCGTTTCCAAAATCCACGGCTGAATCTGGCACCGAGCACAAATTCAGCAAAATGTGCTGCAGTAGGAATCCAATTCATCCCCCACGTAAGAGAATTAATCTTCCCCTTAAACCTCTTGAAAATAGCTTTGCTATGTCAACATACACCGACAGAGCTCTTGTGAGCACGGTACAATGTCTGAACGATGCCCATCCACTAGTCATTCTGCCAGACGCATTCTGAAGTAATAACAATACTTAGTACAAATTCAACACTTCATGTTTTCTAAAGTGCTGCGTATTTCGTGACCAATGAACCTACATAATTCCCATGCAAGGAGAATCTTATCCTCATCACACAGACAGGAGCTCACAGAATGGCTAATAACAGAGAGCCCAGGACAGGGCCAGGACCAGGACTGACCTGCTCCTAGGTTTTACTGCACTAGATGGTGCTTACTTTAAAACAGGAGAAAAATGACGCATTTCTGGGGACACCAACAGGTGCAGCCAAAAAAGTGCTGGTGAAAGCTTAGCTGCAAACACTGACCAGGATAAACCTGATTCTGCATCATTTCAGAAACAGGACCGATTCTGGTTTGCTGGATGCACCCAGAGCTTGAGCAGACCTGCGAGCAGCAGGAGAACGGGGCGTTCACACTCCTGGGTCCAGAACGTGGGTCAGACACACAGGTCCGCTACTGCTAACAGCTTGGGAGGCGTTCCATGTGGCATGGTCCTCAAACACTGGGCTTGTGTTGGGGCTATGCAGGGGCTGCGTCACAAAGAACCACCATCCCGTTTTACCCCCGAGCTGGGGAAGAGACTAGAACGGTGTGTCTGGTTTTAGTGTGGCACTGCTTCTTGGGAAAAAATGGTTTTCAGGGTGAAAAACTATGCATTTAACAGGCAATTAGCAAATAACAGGTCAAATTTTTTTTGCAGATTTCTTTACATTTTCTCTTTACAAATTATGATTATTGTTGCTCTGCGAATGTTGGCTTTACAGCCAAAACTATCTTGGTGTCTTCTGGGTAGCGTGGGACTGGAACAAATTAACCTTTTTATCTATGATCTTTGGCTGTGCCAAACCATGCTGCATCTTACTGTTACAAAGCTCCTACTAGGAAAGCGTTTAAGATGTCAGGCCAGCGGTGGGTGCATCACCGAAACGTAACGCAGTCTTCTGAACTGAAAGCTTGGAAGCGGGCACCAACACAACTGCTCTGCACCCCATCCAGAGATGAACATACAGTGAATCCAAACATCTGTCTAGTTCCATGAAGACTGAAAACTGTGCAACCTAGAGGAGTTGCTTTGTGAAAGTGTCTAAATACAGTGGCTGGGTACACAGGGGAAAAACAGGAAGGTGTGCCAACATGTGGAGCTGACTCTGGAGGGTGTGATCGTGTTCCCAAAGATGGTCAATACAGTGTGAGCAGGGAGGGTGAAAATGGTCTTTATACCTCTACCCAGTCAAAGATCTGTTCATCGTTCGTCTTGTCCTCAATAATGAGTTTCTCTAGCTGTTTGTTTAGCTCTTCAGCAGAGAGATCTTTCTCTGAAAGTGCTTCTGAGGAACTGGAACAGTCGGACTCTGTGAAGTCCAACTTCTGCAACAGGAGATGTTGTATAATGAGAAGCTATTCAAAATACTTTTCTACATTGTATCAAGCTGAAAGCAAAAGAACAAGCTGCATTTTACTCTGTTTTACGGTATTTACAAATGAACACGAGTTCTTGCAATGGTTTACACATTTTCTTTCATTCCAAAGAATCATAAAGCAACTCACGAGTCACAGCGACATGCAAGCTATGCACATGAATTCATCTAGCAAAGAAATGCAGCCACCCGAAGGGAAAGATATCCAACACTTGACAATACTTTAGCCCATCAAGTGAAGCAGCGTACACTGTTCAACTGGAACCACATGGAGCTCAAATGCAATTACCAGAGCCGGAATCCCTTCAGGCAGCAGAAACTAACACCCTGCTCTGGCAAACCACGCGCAAGACCTACGATGATCACTAGTTCCCAGCTCTCGGTTCTATATTTCAGTCCCTGCACAAAGCAGAATCGAAGGAGTGTCCCTGCAATGACTCGAAGGAAGAGTGCCACCTGCGTCACCGCCAGCACCACGGCCAGGCATTCCCGCGGGAGCCTCCATCAACTGGGGACTCGGCTCGGCGTGCACAGCCCAATGGAACCAAAACTCAAAGCGGGAGGTTAAGTCACCCTCGTGATTTATTCCGCTCCCTTCACAGAGTTTAATCCTCAGTTGAACTGTCCACTCTGTCTTCTCATCGCCTCAATATCATGCCTGCAACTCCTTTTCAAAGACATAAGCCAGCTGGTCGCAAATCAGCAGACACTGCACTTGGGACATTAGAGGATGCTTCCTTTCCTTTCTGAAATCCCAGACAAAGGTGTTAATCTAATCTAAATCTAATCCGAATGAGCAAAGTACTTCATCTTCATTTTTCTCTCTGATGACATGTCAGGATAGGAAAGAACTGCACGAGTATGACCACGTGCCAGAAATCAGCAGACCAAACCCATCCCCTGCCAGGCGCGTCTTATACAAAGGCAGCACACAGAGCTGTGTCTGAGTGGAGACTGCTCCTAATTTACCTGCTCCATGAGAAAGGTGTGTACGTCCTCCCCTTCTGGTAAATAGTCCTTCCAACTGAGGCCAGCCTCCCTCCATAAGGCTCCCACTTTCTTATGGCTCTACAATACAAAGCAGTTGGTTCAGTTTTTAAAACTGGAGAGAAACCGCACAAGTTTAAAACAGGCTGGAGTGGCGCAGCTGCATGAATAGAAATACATAATTGTTCTGCCTCACAACAGGTTGCCTATCCGTACCCAAAAGGCGTCTGGAAGCCCATGCAGGGGCGTTAACAATACCCTACCTTTTACAGGCACGTGTAAATGTGCAGGGTGTTCAAAACACCCTAATGCCATGTGTAAATGCAGCTGAACGAACATGGAGTTTTCAGTATGTTTAACCAAAGATGATCTACATTACAATAAAGGGACCAACAGACAGAGCACGGCACAAGAACAGAAGATACAGAACTGAAGGTCAGATGACTTGGAGTCTACTTTGGGGTTCTGCTACTCCTTTGCCCTCTGACTCCAGAGAAATCACTTTTCCTTCTACCCCTCTAAATTAATACAACTGGAGCATATCATTTTAGAAAAGTCATTTGCAAAATGTGCGGACATTTTCTACGTGTCATAAAAACCACGTGCACCTACTAGACTTCATACCTGCCCTTTCAGAAATCCCCAGTTTTGATATGCCAGCTGATATTAGTGCTAATGCTAACGATGATAACTGTAGTAGTAATTATTGTATTTACTCTGATACTACGCTCTTTCCTGCCCAGGCAGGGGGTTGGACTCGATGATCTGCTGAGGTCCCTTCTGACCCTAGAATCTGTGAATCTACACCTTTCTCCTTGCATCAGCCCCCCAAATTTGTCTTAAATAGGGAAGAGGATTTTTTCTTTGCTGGAACAGCAGGGTGGAATAGAGTGCAGTGTCCGTATGCTCCCAAGGGCTGCTGCTTCCCTCTGGTCCCAGCAAGCAAGAGACAAAGTCCTATGTAAAGTCCACCCTCCCACTGCAGTTTGTGCCTGAAGCTGCACTGGAGCTGGCTCAGGGCACGCGGGCTGTGGCCTGCAGTCTGTAGTATCCCGATGAGGCTTGTGGCGTGGAAACAACGCTGCTATTTACAGGAGCTTATAAAGAGAACGAGTTACAGTAAAGAAGGAATAGTCTTGCTATTACCCTCGCAGGGGTCCGGGGCCTCAGCTTGTTGCTGTCCTGTCACACCAGGCAGTTCCTGATGCCGCACCCAGAGTGTCTCCTGGGGGCCACACTTCCAGGACACACTGTGTTCCAGGAGGACTAACTTTATGTCGCGCAGTCGGCCACGACTCTGGAAAAAATCTCTTTTCTCTACATTCTGCCTTCCAAAACCAAAGTGCATGCCTGCTTTGGAGGGGTGCGGTATGCAGGAAAATATGGTATCTCTTCCTCAAAGCCGCCCATCCAAGGCTCTCTGGATTTGCTAACATTAATGAATTTGGCTTCACAACGCCCAGACACCTTGATAAAAGTGCCTGATTTTCACAGGGAGATGACAGAGGCTCTGGAAGCTGTGTGTTCTTAGCATATTTTCAGAATCAGACCTCCGTTTTGGATGATTAATATATATACCAACATCTAACTGTACACACCCAGGTCTGCAAATTCTGGCCTACGTGACTTCTTAAGTCACGTCAGAAGATGAGACGGAGCCAGAAACAGAGCCCAAGTTTTCTGACCGCGGCCCTGTGCCCTGTCCACAGGATCGTGAGTCCTCTCCCAGTTTACAAAATGACAAACAAAATGGCAACCTTCAGTCTAAATGAGCAGAATACTCATTTTTACTAATAAAACACACGTTTTCATCCACATTAAGGAACTGGTCTATGGAAAGGTTTCTGGAACAACCTGCCTCATCTGAATGCATGCTTTAAAGAGAGGTGAGGGATTCCGTAGGGTCGAGTTAGAGAGTGCTCAGAGTGCATTAGTTAGCTGGACTTTTAAAATAAAATTAAAAACCAAAAAGATTCAGAGTTACAGGTAAACCACCACGCTCCCTGGGTACACCGTGAAGTAAGTAAGAGAGCTCTAGAAGTTCCATGGTAAATAGGTGTCACTACCCCTAGCGATGGGTGAATCTTGAGAGATTGTAGGTCTATAGTTTGGATAAGCACCCAGAAGTCTGAACGGCCATCTGAATCTTATCCGAACTCTCATAACTTCTGATCTGCAAGAACGGGGTCTCTTGCAAGATTTCCAGTACTTCCTGCTTCTGGTCAGCCCAGAAATACCTTGAGAACGTCCCTCTTGCAGTATTTCAACACTCTAGCTTCTGGAAGAAGCCAGGTGGCAAAGGTACCTGCAAAAGGGAAAAGGGATGAGAACAAAGTTAACCCAGCTTTTTGGAACCTCAAAAGGCAGGGGTGGGCAAAATGCAGCCCGGATGCGGCCCGCCAGGCCATTCTATCTGGCCTGCGGGGCCCCTAAAAAATTTAGAAAATTAATATTTATCTGTCCCTGGCTGCCTGTCATGCAGCCCTCGATGGCTTGCCAAAACTCAGTAAGCGGCCCTCCACCCGAAATAATTGCCCGCCCCCGCTGTAAGGTTTGGTCTGAAGTTTGGGGTGCAGTGGTGGGTTCTTATGTTATCCGGACTCATGTGTCCATCTCTGAACATCTTCACATGGGAAATGTGAGCAAACGCCCTTCATTCAGGAGCATGGTTTTGCTTTATCCAGCACAAACTACACATTTGGCTACTTACCATTTGTTTGCATAGAAGGTGCAATATCTCAGAAAGCAAGACCCCAGCTCTTCCCACAGGAAGTAAAGGTTTGCTAAATTCTCTAGAAGAAAAGAGAAAGAAATATTTTTCTTATACTCTTTTGTTGTCATTGTTCAAGTTCCCACGGACTTCAGTGATGCAGAACTGTGCTGAGGTCAGACTACAACCTAGAAAAACTGGGACTGAAATACCAGCCACAAGAAGACTAATTAAGATGCTTCTGTACCTTATTTCTATCTAGGACTTTCTGCTTATTGCAAGACCTTTCCAACCATATGTGTTTTTGGGGCAGGGACGGCCACTTCCTGTAGGTAACTAGAGCACCTGCAAGAAAAGGGCACCAGCCTGGTGGACTTTTACATGCTGCCATAATATAAATGTTAAACGATGACGACAGTAATGTGGAAGTGAGGTGACTTTGGAAAACTCTTTCCATTTTTGTGGGTGCAGTTTTGTGGTCACGGTTAACATCAATGGAACAGATGTTTAGGGGACGAAACAGTTCCTGGGTGAAAAACTGCACCTTCAAAAACTAAGACGAAATTCAGATTCTTTTAAACAATTAGGGCCTCATTTTCTGTTAATAACTCTCGTCTTACAACGCGTGGTTGTTTGCAATTTATCTATTAAGAATCAGGGGCTGACCATGGCTGGGGGATAAAATTAACTTAAAACAGAACATAAGCACAGAAATAGTGACTACACAGCAGTGAGCTCCCCACAACCACAGCTCCATGTCAACGCACGTTTTATTTTTTAGAACAAAACTTGGCGGGTGTTGTAGCAGCCATCAAATACAGTTTCGTACTTTAGTCCTGTCTAGCCTGCTGAAAGACGGTGGTACAATCAGGCAGATTGTTAGGCTCGACTGTTACTAGCAGAAAAATAGACGTGCTTACGTTATAAGTTCTCTCATAGAGATTCCTCCTTCTTTTAACATGGGGGTCACCAATTCAGCTAGGTACAACCAAATGTGGGGTATGTCAATGGCCATATCATCTGCCATCTCCAAGGTATCTGAAAAGCTTTAGAAAACAGACAAAATAATATGCCAGGTGTTAAACCCAAATCCAATCTTGGAGACTCTTTTCTTCTTCTCTAAAGTAAATCAGTACTGGGGTAAATCCTTTCGATTTGTAGCAGAAATTCCCAATAGCATGAAGTCGACTAGTGCCATCTAATGCACGGGTCCCCCCCATGGCTAATATAGATAATTTCTCTTTCACAACAAAGGATACTTCCGATATGGTCCTGCTCTTGGACGCCCTGGAAGGTGAATGCCCTCAACAAGGTATACAGTTTAGTAGATGCTGTTGCTTTTAGAAGAAGCTGAGAAGCAAGTATCTCGCAGCAAAAGGAGCACGTGTTTCAAATTAACACCAAAGAAAAACATCAGGGATTTAGACGTGCATGTGGCAAAATACCAACCCCTTGAAGAAGTCCTGCTTGCTTAGCTTTCCTGACTGCACCAACTGATGTAGTAACTGGCCCATGTGATCCCTGGTGATCTGACTCCGCTCCAGGGTAGACTCCACTCCGACTCGCACAAAAACAGGCAGCAGATTCTGCGCATTCAGCTCCTCCACGCACTGCATTGCTTCCTGTTCAAACAACAGAGGGTCACGTCTCTGAGCCCGGGGAGACAAGCGGGCAGGCAAAGCTGGAAGACGCTCTGCACTGAACAAAAGCCTGTCAGACACTGCTTCAGGTCAACAGATTCTTTTGATAAAACTTTTGTCATTATTTTGATACGCACTTACTGAAACTGAAAGGCAAGGATGAATCATTCATCTCTGGCCAAAAAACCACCATTGAAACTCAAAACTTAGTAGGAAGCAAAATTAAGAATTAGATATTGAGAACGTCAGCAGTTGCGATGTGCAGACTTTTAAAATAAATGACCACACTTTGAGGGCAGAAGCCAGCCACTAGTTTATGAGTTTAGGAAGAAAGTCCCCCCATCATCATGGAACTGCTTTTTCTATGGAGTTTACGGCTTCAAACCACAGACCCCTGTCAAAGAGAGGACATGGATGACATGTCTGACCTGGCATGGTAATACTTGTATTATAAAAAGGTAATGTAATGACACAGAAAATATGTAAATACCATGTGGAAAATGCAACACTTTTTACTGCTAGAGCTATATTCTGGCACCTGCATTTTATACTGCATACAAACGTAGCACTGGAGAATGACCAGGGAGCCCCAGAAGAACGTCTGGTGTTTCTAAGGGGCTATTTCCCACAGATATTGGGCCTAAGGTAACCCCAGACTCTTGTGTTAGGGCCAACTTTTAAATCAGGGGCATGTTAGTAACTCCGAGAACAAGGAGAGCGTGGGCAGGGATCTGTACGACCGACCGCTGAATGACTGGCTGTATAGCCTCAGTATCATAAGAAGCTGCCACAAAGTTAAAAAAGACTTTTAATTTCTAGTTAGATTAAACAGAACGGACTGAAGAGAGGAAGCAGCCGGGCTGTTTCTACTGACATTTTCCATCCTAAAAAAATTGTTAAGATGAAGGCAAGGTTGTAGGCATGCATCAGTGTGTGCAGTGTATATTATATTTCAAGAGTATTAAGAGTTAAAAACCACAATACAACCAGAACCCCCTCGCACAGCCTCAAGAAATGGATTTCTGGGTACGCTTCTCTAACTGGACTTCACTACTTTGACTGTCTTTTGTACAGATCTCATGAAAAATCACACGTACTCGGCCACAGCACAGTTTCATTATATCCGTGAGCACAGAAACTAGGTGGACCAGGCAAGGGCACACTTTGAGGTGTAGCTCAGAACAGAAAAGGGCTGGAGACTTATATTTTAAACGATAAGGAATCGAGCAGCCCCTCTCGCAACCCCTGCCGAGTTCCTCAGAGTCGCCATTCCCCGGTGCCATTATTAAATCCAGTGTCATTAATTCTTGAAATTAGTCTTTAATAAATAAACCAAATGTCTGTCCTGGGAACTAGACCTAAGTCAGCAAGAATCCAGTACAAAAGGAGTTAGCTCTTGCCTTTCCACCGTTTGATTATAATATTTAGAAGAATTTTAGAAATGTGATTAATGTCTCTATTTTTAGGGAAGAAATACAGGAATCTCTCATCGTTGTCACTTAATACATTGTGAAGAACACGCTATCTTGACTCCAAATCTAAACTATCCTTTTTGTGCCTGACAATTTTTGTGGATTTTGGAGCATGAGGCAAGATGTGGTTTACAAAGGAAACTCAACTGCAACCATTAACTAAGAAGTAATGACAGTTCCTCTACAGTTCTCCATATTTACTAAAAATACCCTGCATTACTTTCTTCAACATTTATTATCGTTTAATCTGCCTTGAGATCAGGACAGCAGGCGCTCTGACAAACTTCTGGCTGGTTTCTCTCTAGCTTTCAGCATCCGGCACAGAAATGCCATTATAGCAGAACTGCGATTCATGACAGATGCACATATATTTTTCTACAATGCACAAAGAGGACTGTTTCCCCTGTCGTTAGCAATGGAAGAATAAAAGTACTTGGAGAGCTGCGCTACATTTGCCCACTCATCCCTGCTGCCTACGTTCCCAAAGGTCTGACATTTTTACATTAAAGACCTAAGAATGGGCATTTAAAAAGACACTGCCCCCAAAAGGAAAAACGCGAAAGTCCAACTGCTACACGTCCTGCAAGATGAAGTTTTTGTTCTGTTTACCTTATAATCATTAATGTGCAAAAACTCATCAATGATGGATTTGCATTTTCTCTCCATTTCCTCTTCTGATAGCGAAGGCTTGTCTTGTACCGGAGCTGTGGCAGTTTCTGGCTTGGCTGGTAACGAGGGAGAGAAAACAGATACTTGGATAAGGAGATTGTCTTCACATCCAAAAAAAATGGTTTTAAAGTAAAAATGAATCCGGCCGGTCTCCCTCGGCCTTTCCTTCTGGCCGAATAGCAACTGCTGATAGGCAGGCTCTACCGTGATGACTGAAAGAGAGCTGATTTGGAAATGGGATCGTGGGAAGGTAAAACAGAGTTCCGGGCTAGTTTTCAGCCCATCTTTCTGAGCCGGTCTGATCATTGGGCATAAATCATTTCTTATTTAGCTTGATTCTCCCCTCTGTGAACCCTCCATATGTCCACAAATCGCCCTTCTCAGTTTGTGCAGTAACAATACTTGGCACCGCCACCGTATTTTACACCTTCAAAGCACTCGCCAGACGTGAAATAATGAATCTTTGGACCGCGACAGCAGCTCTCCCTGCACATTTACGACATGCTGACTGTGACCGGCGGCAATGAAAGAATCTCCCCAGTTAAATTCCAGTATCTACAATAGAAAGGAGAAGCCCCAAGACCATGTCCCTGACCCGTCCGCTGGGTCTGGACCTCCTTCCCTTCAAACCACTTCAGGAAAGAGCCTGACTGAACAGACGGGCTCGCCCTGCGCGCTGGAAGTTACTGCTGCTGTTTAGTGCTCATATTGTGGTTGCCGTCACAATCTGCTTGGTGCTTTCTGCCGCAGGAAGCCCACAACGTGTGGAACCTTTCCTTGCATTTCCTCGCTACCAGGCTGCTGGTCCTGCAGCCCCCCGGGAGGAAGCGACGATGGAAACCCGCGCAGGTGAGGTGTCAGCTGCCCCCCGCATTTTAACATTGCTGCGCAAAGACTCACTCTGAGCAGTTAGGGGGCACAATGCTAACACCACTCAGCTCCTGGCACTGAGCAACGTTACGGGAGTGGAGATGCATCCTGAATACACAATGACTGTTACGCTCAGGTACTCTGATAAGCCCCTGTGCAGCACCTCACTTCAGCTGGGCAGAAATAATATTGGTTCTGCTGGATTAACCAACTCCATTTTACCAGCTGCTCAGCGTACACAAAGCCCACTGACAGCGCCAGGAACGAAGTTGCAGAACGTTGTATAGGAAACACGGGGTCAGGCCCATGGGGATCACACTTAAAAGCACAAGGGCCTTCCACTGAAAATGCACTGCCCCTGCACTCCCCAATTCACTGAACCACTGCGGCTGTGAAAGGAAGTAGTGGCAGCGCTCCGCCCCAGGGCTGGAGAGCAGAAATCCTTGCACTGCTGTTAGCCCCTGGAGTCCACTGGAGAGTGCTCAGTGACTGAGGGCTGGGAAGAGAGCACTTTGGGATGCTGGAGGACCAAGCAAACCCTCTGCTGTGTGCTGCTGGAGCATGCAGATGCTTTAGGAAGTGCTGCAAAAATGTTCCTCTTCCTTTGAGGAATATTTCTGCAGCGGGTCCTTGGGTGTGAACAGCTACACCCTCGCTGGTCGGCATGCTCCAAACAAAACTTCTGCCCATGGCCTTGGCAGCTAGCCCAAACATCTGCATATAGGGCTTTCAAAACCACCACATCCCAATAGCAGCCAAAGGCCAGTCTACTCTTATACAGGGCTCTGAACCTCGTTACAGAGGCTCTGATCACCCATCACACTGAGAACATCCATCTGACATGGGTCCTGCCGAGGTCTATCCGGGAACCGACAGCAAGAGCAACACAGCACGGATGGAAACCATCACTTATATTGTCATTTCTTACACATTTCTGCAGATTTAGCAAATTCTCCAAATTCACGAGCCCCAAGAGTACTAACCCAGCACTCACGGAGCAGCTTCTTACCGGTTTCCTTGGCTTTGTTCCTGTCTGCCTCCGCACTGTTTCTGTCTATCTCCATGCCTCCCGTTAGCTGTTTCACAGTCTCTAGCATCTCTCTTCGCTGTTCTTCTTGCGCCTGATTATCTAGCAGCAGCTCTTTACTGCTGCTACCCCGCAAGAAGGTGCTTGGACGAGTGACTGACGATGGGAGCGGTTTGTCATTCTTCTCTCTGCCTGTGCTCCCACGACTGAAAATAAAGAAGCATTCACATGGAAGGTTCTGATCTGTTCAACTGTGAGGAATTAACATTGGTCACATCACCTCTCTACTACAAGTTGGCAAAATGGAGCCAGAGAGAAATATTTTCTAATCTTTTGATGGCTATAGTCTGGAATACAGACAAAACCCACATCTTCAGCAGTCTGACCCCCTGCCCGCTAGATCTGAGAAGAACAAAACACCCTGTGGTGTATACTGCAGACACAAGGTACAGCCAACTTTAATGTGATCGGTTATGGCACCACTGCACTCTGAAACTGCTGGACTGGTAATTCTTTACCGATCCAGATTATTTCAAAACAGCAAAAAAGGAGCCGCAAGGGTGGCTTATTAATCAATCATCTGGAGGAAAAAGATAATACTGCTAAGGAAAAATTCATTAGACAATTCTTTGGACAAAATTATTCGGGACAGTTAGAAGTAGAAGACTGTTGGCAAATGTTATCCAGTGTTAAGAAAAGACTCATAATAGATGATGCTCATATGTTTCAGACAGAAGCTTTAAGCAATATTGTTAGTAATATGCACATCAGTTGAAAGTGGCCTAGTGGTTGCTAACCATCTATAGAAATGAGCTATTTATTAAAACTTAACATTTATTGCACTCTTGTAAGCTTTTTATAAATGCGTCCTTAAGGTGTGATGCAACAACAGGAACAAAATCATTCAGCTGCAAGGTTACTTTTTTAATTGCAAAAAACAAAACAAAACAAAAACAAAAACCCAGCCTCCACATTTCCCATAATGTTTGAAAACACGGATGGATCCTAAATTAATCTGAACCATTCAGCAAAACTCCTGGGCATGCTTGGGAAACACCTTACTTAATTAAAGCTTCTTCTCTGTGGCTTGTGACAGGCTAATAAACCAAGAAAACCTCGGGGTGGAATTTGGTTATCCTCATCTGCGTAAGCAGCACCCATCCAGCTGCACGCGTGTGCATTTCTATTACCTGTGCAGCGCGGACATGTAAGCATATGTGCGTAGAGTGAGCATGCTCAGCAGGTTGTGCCCTGGCTGGGTGGGTACACAGCTCTGTATGCACACACCTGGGCATACGTGGCAGAAAGAAGAGGGGAGGAGAGACTTTCTCTGCTTTAGCCCCAGCAGCTGATTGCTCAAGACAGTGATTCTCAACACGGCCGTGTTAGCACTGTTGGGCAAACATGACTCTCAAAACGAACCCACAGATTTCAAATAGGAATCCAGAGTGTTAAAGCCAGTCTGACCTGTTGTGGGTTTTCTGAGTGCTTTAGAAACTGAAGAATTGCTTTATTATTTTTTCCAGATTTAAAAAAAAAAAGAGAGTGAAAACTCAGAGCCGGCATTTTCTAAGCTGGGCCTCAAGCCTACAAAGGTCAAGGACCACTGGCTGGGGAATTTTCTCAGGAAAAAGGCCTGGAGAGAAGATTAGATACTGCCTGGCATGTGGTACGATGGCTTGAGCACTGTGCTGGGAACAAAGAAAGATAAAGGTTCAAAAGTCCGCGTGAACCTAGCTTTGCTGATCTCCTGTTTCCTGGACAAATGCCCTAACTGCTCAGCTACTGTGGCTCAAACATAGGAAAGCCATCTTCTTCCTCTTCCGGCAGCTGCTAGTAACCAGTTTTGTTCTGGTTACAATTTCATGGCAATCAAATATGCACTACCCAGCCAGTGCACAGCCTGGTGTACACCTGTGCATTCACATGGCACGCATAACAGAGGGTAATAGCAGCACACACTGCGCGCAAGTGACAAAAAGGCAACGTGTGCAGCTGGGAAACAGCCACACAGAGGGGAAGAGAACTCCCCCGGGACGTATAAATACCGGGGTGACAAGTACCATCAAGAGATCAACTCTTACCTAGTTAAGGCCCTTCGAGAGTCTAACTCTGAGGAAGCAGATGAGGCAGATACAGATGACACTGGAGGCTGCAGTGCAGAAAATCTGTTCAAACTAGTGGCACTTGGTCGTAAGGAGTCTGCAGGAGAAGGCAGAAGACAATGTTACAGAGGACCAGCCAGGCAACGATGGTCACACAATTATTTAAAAAATCCCCCCGCCCCCCAAGAGTTGCTAACAAGAAAAACTGGGGAAAGGGACTGGTGGCCTCCATTTTATTGCTGCTCCTTATATCGTCATAAAAGTAACTATTGCTGTGCCATGCAAGAGGGGCGAGTGCTTAGCAGACCGATGCTGCCCAGCAGCCAGAGCTGTGTCTTGAGTGTCCCCCCATAGGATTCTGTTCCCTGGGTTTTGTATTTCCAAGTTTATGCTTTGGAGCTGCGAGGAGAGGTGGCGGAAGAGACTTGTGTCACACTGGCACCGAGCTGTACTCGTACACAATGGGACACATCTCAGCAAGCTGAAGCTTGTGGTGAATCTTTCCTCGTGTTGTTGCCCCCAGGCCCAGTGACACCAGCCTCTTGGGCACACTGTTCTTGTGGCAGCAGCCTGCGTCAGCCAGGCCTTTCCTGAATAGGTCTCACCAACCTGTGCCCACACGATCGCCCCAAACCTGGAGCATACTAGCGAGGCTGCTTGGGGCTGTTCTTATACCCGAGATGGAGCTTTCCGAGTATTTCCAGGTTCGTAGCTGGTGTGTGGGAGTGAGCGGGCAGGGTGAGCATGCGAGTGCCCTGCTCTTGCCATGGTGTAAATATGCCCTTTGTCTCTTATTACGTGCAATGACTTATTCAGGATGCTGACCTATTTTATCATTGTGCTTTGCTTTCTTGTTAGTGGCAGAATCCCTTAACACTTAAAAAGAAACGAGTGAAACACAGCCTGCAATCAGTCAATACCTTTCCTCTGTGTTTATTCGCATGCTACTATTGCATCAGATGCATTCTGGACCATGCACTACACACATGCAATCATGGCAGGAAGGTCCATTAGTGAGAACTGAAAAACGAATGCACCGATTTTGACGGTGCTAACAAATGGACGCGAGGCGGTTTCTTCGAAGCACCGGGTACCACAGCGACACAGCTGCTTCACGGATCAACAAGAGGGACAGACAACACAACGTGGGGGTGCGGAACCTTCTTCACTTACCAATCTCGCTTGCCTTTGCTCCGCCACTGCTGCCCTTCCCCCAGCTGCCCAACTGGGCTTTAGGCACAAGCTGAATCTTGTCATCGATTGTGGGCTGTAGAACACAAACACGTATGATCAAGACCTCACAAGTGGGATGATTTTCCTATCGATAAACAGGTCTTTTCATATAAAGCCGGATCATCAACCCTGGTACTGGCATGTCTTTGAAAAACTCCCGAGCAATCCTCAAACTGTAAAAGTCAGGGAATGGCAAAGCATACCACAAATAGATGCTTCCAAGGTACAGGTGAAAAACACTGCCTGTCAGGCACTTCCTACAGATAAGGGCAGCACAACTAAAAGGAATTAAAGGATGGAACAAAGAATCGGTACATCACGTACCTGGGAGAACAGTTTATTTGCGGTGAGTAAAATGTTTCTACTCCGTTTACAATCGTGGCACCGTGAGAAGTTTACAAGCAGTAAGGAGCAGCATTCAGGATTTGGAGAGTAAAAGCAGTGTCCAACAAGAACAGAACATTGATTCTGCAAGGCTCAGTAAAGGACTGTATTGACAACCAGGTTGTGACCCTGCAGCTCTCTTTGTATGAGCCTGTTTCCTTCTGTCACTGAAGTTCCCATGGAGCTAACTGTATTTAAACTAAATAAAGTCAGAGGACCTTTTCCTGGCTGGAACAAAAGCAGATGGAACGCCTTTCACCAGGCTGGAGATCTGTTTTACGAACTGCACGAGGAACAAACAGCACTCTGTTTGCGGACAGATTTAATCCTGCCCAGGTCTGATTTTTATACTGCATGAACATCTGTGCATTGAAAGTGAAATTCAGTAGGGTGGCATTACTAAGAGCAAACGACAGAAGAGAATCACCCTGATTTATGTGAAGGACTGAGTTCTCCATGGCTAGAAATTCCAAAGCTGCTCTCCAGACTATTCTGTTGGGGAAAAAACCTCTAGGAAATGATGGGGCTTGGTGCTCACCTACCCAACAGGCCACATGAAATACTACTTTGTTAGTAAAGATAACCATTAGATGCTCATACGGCGTTTGGGGCTAAAGCCACCTCTTGGCTACACAGCACCAAATTAAACCAACTGGCTGTGCTTTGTTAAAAGACGGAGATGGCATTATCCTTCTACTAACGCAACACCGGACAGGACACTGAAAAGCTGAAGAAACAAAGAGCTTATTTTTGACAGATTCGAAAGACCTCATGAACTAGCTGCTTGAAGTACTATCCCATTTCAAAGGACAGATTCCGAGTTTGCTTTTTTTCCTGCATCATTATAATATACAGTTTTTAGTGCAAGGACACTTTGGGTCCCTTAGAAAACAGGGACTTTTATTGCTTTTTGTAAGCATAACAAAACATGAACTTTTAGAATCAAGTGAATCCCTCCCGATTTTAACTGTTAAAACTCTTTGAAAAAAATGTAAAGCAAGCTCCGGCTCAGGGGCCGGTTTGTACCTCCGAGCATGAAAGCGTCTCCTGCAGAGACCTTAACAAACATTCAACACATTTACAGCCACGTAACTTAGCGGCCAGGAAGTGATTTTGTGCATGGACACTTACCTTAGTGATTTTAAGGAATTTGGTGGGGTCCAGCACTCGACTGCTCTTCGCCCCCTGCACGGTGTTCCATCCGCCTTCATCTACCCTCTGGACACCTGCACGATCAAGTCAATCACAGCGTCGTTACCGTGGCACGGATGGTTCAAATGCATTGCAGCCATGTCTGCAATCCCTCCCTCCGCATCCCATGCCAGGAAGTTACTGAAGCAACAACCACCCCCCTGAGATCCCCTGCACAACTCGACCTTGAGGCAGGAATCAGAGGAGATACTTTTCTGAGGAAAATGGCACAGTTAGGCAGCTTATTGTTTTATAATCTTTAGCATGAAAGGGTCCTGCAGAATGTTTTTCTACACTGGGTCTCAGCCATTCTTGTTTCCTAGTTGGTTTTATTTTTTGTTTGCCAATTGTTTCATCTTGCTTGCATTTCTTTAACAATTTGTTCTTCTATGTTAAACTACTCTCCAAGCTTGTCTTCTCACCAGCCATTTTAAACAGGAGACTATTTTAAAAATATTTGTGTTTTATTTCTATTTGGGTTGAAGGCTAAGACTGAGATGGACCTGAAAGAAGGCTCTGTTAATTGCAAATAAAATCAGCATTTGTATGGACAACCGTGATCTGCTGGGGAAGAGCCAGCATGGTTTCAGTCAAGGGAGATCCTGCCTCACCAGTTTGCTGGAGTTCTTTGAGGGTGTTAACAAGTGTCTGGACAAGGGGATCCAGCTGACCTAATGAAGCTGGACTTCCAAGCTTTCAACAAGGTCCCTCACCAACGGCTTTTAAAAAACCCAAGTTGCCATAGGACTGGAGGGAAGGTTCTTTCATGGACTGAGAGCTGGAGAAAATATCCTGATCCTGATTTACTCACCGCTCTCTTACTGAACCTGCTGGGACTGGCCAAAGCAAGAAGCAAGCCGTAGCACTAGTATAAGAGAATTAAATGAGAAGGGTCTGCACCTGCTTTTAAGAACTAGGGCTGATTTTGGGCTCATTTCTCAGAAAACCACTAACATCTCTGGGTTCATCTTACTGGCATGCTAACTTTGAGGCCCGATAACAATTTAAGACCGGATATACCACGAAGAAGGGCACTTGATGCCTGAAAGCTTGTCCAACAGTTCTCCCACCTATATAGCTGGTTCAATAAAAGACACCACAAAACATCCTTGTCTCTAGGACATTTCCTGGATCATCATGGCTACAACAACACTCCAACCCTCCTGGGTCAGGTTAAGACAGACTTTTTCATATTGGGTTGCATCTTACTCTGGGAATCATGCAGTGAAATGCTACACTCTTCAAGTAGGGATGGCAGAATCAGACTCCTACACAGTAATTTATACTTGTAAATCTCTGGGACACTGAAATGAAGTGAGCATCACCATACCCATGTGGTACTATTACTGTTTCAAACATTAGGAAATAGAGCTAGAAAGACATTAAATAACAACATGTGCTGGGAATCTGTGGCAGAGAAGGCACTGGAACCCAGACTTACACAAGACCTTCTTTCTAACCATGTTAGTTTTCTCATCAGCCACCACTTCAGCAAGACTATCCAGATCTTCTGGAATGGTGAATGATGCCTGAAACTGCACAGGCTGCTCAAAAGAAGTACTACAGGCTTTCCAACCATCTCCAATCTCATCCCTGTTCATGATAAAAATCCTTTGATCACTAAGGATCAGTAAATACAGATTTGCCCCTTTGTATAAACTAACAGGCATCTTGCAGAAAAATGGGCCACTAATTTGGGTAATACATACCTGGCCTTCTCTTCTCTTTGGTCATGAGTTGCTGGACCTTTCTCTGTTCTTCCTGCTCTTCAATTTTTGCTTCTTTATGAATCTGCTCAATTGTCTTAGGGCCTTGATCTGCTCTCCGCGACACCCAGTTGCACTGTGAAGGCAGTAAACAAAGGTTTAAAAGAGCTCTAGGGCATTGCCAGGGAAGTCTATTAAGAGATTCCTGAACAAGGTGAGAATAAGGCATGCATTGTTCAACATGTAGCTTCTCGGTAATCCATCACAATCCTTAAAGTCAGCCGCGTGCAATCTCCTGCAAGTACCATCGGTGTGCCAAGTCTGCTAGGCAACAACATGTGGGAGGACATTTTCAGTAGTTTTTTTCCCCTCCATATTGTGGGAAGACAATAAAATTAACAAGAGAAAAGTGCAGGAATAAACTGTTTTAACTGGAGACAATGATTTATTAGCTAATCTTAATGGCACGACACCACGTATTTGTTTCTGTTACAACACGGGCTGGGAAATTTTGTTTGTTCGTTTGCAAAGCGCTCCCCCCACGCTGTAAGAATGATGTATCTGATGAAGGCCAAACGGAAATCCCATGGAAAGTGGTGGAACTTTTGATACACAAGAACAATTTAGGTGATTGATGTATTCATTAGACCCGTAAATCTGCACAGATTCATCTACCCCAAGAATAAACACCTGAGAGAGATGAATAAAACTTGCTTATTTCCTGACCTAGTTACAATCTGGTTAAAATTTGTGAATATATTACTTAAGGCTACATATATGCATAGCCTAAACTCTGACTGCAGCCAGGGTAATGATAACAGTACAGTCAGGGCAGCGGCTGCAAAACCCACTCGGGACCCTGGGTAAATATGGTGCTGCGTTTTGGGCTGCCATTGCCACACTGCTCTCAGAATCCAAATGTACTTGTTTAAAGCTAGCTCATTTACGTCTGCACAAGCTGCAATCCCACCTTTGAATACAGTATACATACTCTTAATTATAAACTAAAGCCTTGCTTATGTAGGAATCATTAGACTGATTACAACATGGGCAGGCCCCAACCCACACTGCTCATTTTGGCTCCCTTCAAGTGTTCTCGCTCAGTGTTATTTCTAGAGTTTAGAACGGGACCATTTTCATTAAGTCTGGCCAAATTTTGAAATGTACTGACATGCGTGGATCCAAAGGTAATTTGCGTCCTCACACAATCGAGTTAATAGTATAGCAGTAATCAAAGTAACTAACCACGTTCTGGGTTTTCTAGAAGTGCAGACGGTTGCAGTTGTCTTCTTGTAACAAGTGGGGCACATTTTTGTCCTGCTTTATAGACAGCTCCCTAGCTATCTTTTTATAAGCAGCCTGGCTGATCATCTTAGGTCTCTGTGTAATGAATACCCGAGACGGGTGTCAGTTTGGCTCTGGGCACTCTGTTTCCTGTACAGACATTACAAGACAGCTGTCCACACTTTCCCAGAATATACTGATAACACAGAGGTGCAGCGATGCGGTAGGCACAGACACACAACACGTGACACGGCTAGGTTATGGGAGGAAGGAAAACCTACCCTGTGGACAAAGCTCAGCGAGTCGGTGGTAATCAGGCCAGATGAGCATGTCAAAAATTGGTTACAAGAATATGGCTACAGTTTATACTGCAGACAGGGCCCAAACATGTAATGCAATTAACCTGTTCAACTGCTGATCTCCTGGCCCTTTGTAAAGCAAGAGAGGTACTTATCTTTCAAAGGACCAGGGCACCGATTTTTCCTGTAACATTCCCCTGTTACCGTAATCAAGGATTATTACCCACATCCCAGAGACACCCCATTACAGCAGTGCCAACGACCATGCTTTTTGTTTTCTTCAGCAGGTACATACCAGCCTTAGGTCTATGACATCCTGAAGCATGAACCGAATTCTGGAGGACGTTTTCCTCTCTTTCACGATCTTTTCCATCTGATTAAAATACTGGTCCATACGAGGCTATAAAAAGAAACAAATGTCATCAGCATCCAGGAGGAAAATCAGAACGCTTTTCTACCAGGCAATTATTTTGTCCTCTAGCATTCTTTGATCGCTGCTGCAATACACTCTATTACTTGGAGATCTAGACCTGTTTTCCGGCAAAACATGTATCGGGTTCTGCACAATCAGAAACTCAACTTGTGTGCGCCTGAAAATGTGCAGTACGAATCATGGCGACTTCTGTCTTACTCACTACAAACCTTCAAAAATCCGTTTTAATTATGTGGACAATTTCTCACAGATGCACTGTGAAGCCCATCATCCCTTCAGAAAGTAAGGTGATCGATAAAAACAGAGCTACCATGAACTATCCATAAAAATGCCATTTTCTAAAGCTTACAGCTTGGCCAAGGCAAAACCAGGTTTACAGTCTTTACAGAGGACTTCACTGTGGTCCAACTTCGCTATACAAACCATCAAGTATCAGCCCTCACCCACGCTGGAGTACAGCTGCTTTAAGAAAAGGAATTGCAAGACTTAAAAAACAACCAAAAAACCATTCAAAACCAGCAGAATCATTTTCTCTCTTATTTTTCTAAAAATCAATTAATTTTTGGTCACCAGCCAATCCTGGAAAATTTCGACCACCAACATGCAGGTTTCCAAAAGTTGAGTGACAGAAACCAGAGATTCAAGAGGGAATTTTTCCAGCAACTTTAATTATAAACACACTAGCACTTTGGCAGTAATGAAAATATATAGTAAAATATAGCCCCCATTATTATTAAAAAAAATAAGCACAAAGGCACACATTCAATTGTGGTTTAATGACTCCAAATAAAGGAATGAATTGGTCTCAGAGAACGAACACGGATACACGATCAGGAGAGAAGACAACAAAGAGACGCCTTCGGTGTCGATCTGAACTGGATCCAGCTCCCAGAGTCACTGCCAGGACCTTTACTGGTGTCAGGGGAGCAGGTGAGAGCCTTGGAGTGGGATGCTGTTGTTGTGGGATTATATGGTGTCTTTGATGCTTTTAGTAAAAATAAAATAAAATAAAATAAAATAAAATAACGTTTACATGGATCGGCAACATGCTGTCTGACATGATTTCTCTGTTCCTATTGACACTCCACACTGGCAGTGCCAGAGTTAACCAAGACATGAAGTAGCAGAAAAGTAGCAGAACTGGCAACCTCACCAGAAATTGTTTTTTTCCTATATTCAGTTAAGGACAAAAAATGAAACAGCATCCACAGCTAATCTAATGCAACCTCAGTTACAGCTCAAATCAGATACTGTTCTCCAAATGTGTGGAGAAAATTAATATCTTTCCTTCTGTCGCTTCTGCACCTATATCAATGATTCAAACTCTCAAGTTAACGCTGTAACACACTTTTAAATGAGCAAAAGAAGGTTTCTAAACATGGTGATTAGCGTTAACTGTGGCTTTTCTAGTCAATCTTACACAACAAATTTAAAAAGCTGTTTCTCTTAAGAATCACTGTAAGGATTAGGATCGGTTTCATTTGTGATCCCTTCAATCCACTGAGCTGTAAAAAGAGCTCTCTTCTAAGAGCAGCTGAAAACAATTAGCTCAGTTTGTTTCCAGAGTTTGGTCTGATTGAGTCCTGGCAAGCAAATCCGAGTGCCTTTTTCACCCCTTGCCTGGCTTGTCAGAAATACAAGCAGCCTGTAGATGCCAATGGAAGTTCAGCTCGCACTTGATACAGCAAATTAAGTTTTCATCTATTGGAAAAGCAAGGGGATGGGGAGGGGAGACAGTGAGTCGGTGCAGTTGTGAAATGTGCCTTGCCATAAGGCAGCTTGGGATCCCAACACAACACAACAGTAAGATGTCAAAGAAAGCAATACAATCAAGAGATTTGTCTCCACCTGTGACTGCTGTGATACTGTGAATTTTAGGTCAGTTAATGTGTCTTGTAAATTTTAACATAAACGATTCAACATATTTCCTTTTGTAATGAACTCCACAGAGCAAAAAACAGGTAAATGTCAAGGTTTGTATTAAGTTTGTCTATTAAGATTCCATGTGAAAAAAGAAGGCACAGTGGCCACTTTTAGTCATTTCCAAATAACCTACAGCCTAAGTAGCGAAAAGAATTAAAATATTTCAGGTAATGCTTAATGTAGCAATCTACGGGCCCCTCTACACATTATATTTATGCCACAAGTATTCTGTTAATTGCAGCATAAAGTCAAGGGTGCTACAGGTGCACCCAATCTGAGGCATCAAAAAATGGCAAAGCAGTCATAAAAATGTTCCACATCTTGTAGAACATTTTTATGGCTGGTTTGTCAGGCGTCTGAAATCGGACATGTGGAACAGCTGAGGCTACCCCAGGGCCAGAGCTGACAGTCAGCGGATAGCTATCCCTAGGCACTGATCTGCAGGCACCTGGCTTTCATTTTGCTGGAGCAAGGCGAGCTCGGGATCCTGATCTGGGGCTCCCCCTGCCCTGGCAAGTAGGAAGGGCGTGATCTGGATCTGATCCCCTATCCCAACAATCACTCCTTCAATGCCACGCATGGCAGGAGGTGCGATTTTGGGATTGGAGATCAGATCCCACGGTACCTTTAAATGAACATATGCCAGGGGCCTACACGTAATCTTTTAGAAAAAGGAAAGGGAAGGAAAGAGACGAAACATCCACAGCAGACAGCATGATTTCATACAGCATGATAAGAAGTCTTATAGCAAACAGCCTGGAATGACAGCACCAAGGGCACAATTTTTCCTTCTTGCAGAGAAACTCTCACCCTGGCCACAAGACTCCATTTTACCTTTGCTTTCTCAAAGTCCAAGTCTTTGCCAATGGTAGTCAGCAAGCGGCAAAGGCACTCCAGGGACTCCTCATCGTGATTCTTAAGCAGCTTCACCACACAGTCGTGCATGATGGCCTCAGTCAGCATTTTCAGTTTGAAGAGCTCGCCAATGAACTTGATGTTTCCAATGGATCTCCGCCGAGCCTTGTCCTTGGCCTCCTCTAGCTCATCCCGGAGCCGTGTCTTCTCTTCTGACTGCAAAACACAGGAAGTTCTAAAAAGCATGCTCGTGGGAGCCACGCCAGAGCGAGGGATCCTGGAAATGCCACACTCAGCTAGTTAGTTGCTGCATTCGCACCTCTACCCCAAATGAGGAAACACACCACCATAAAGGCTTCAATTAATGTACAGAGGTCTTCTACAGCATTGCACTCAGCCACAGCACTGCAGGGAATCAAGAAGTCTCCAAGTACCAGTTGGCGTAAGATTTCATTATCAGACCTCTAGATTTCATGAAGAAACTTACAGCAGAAGCAGCTTCAAGTTCCTTCTGCTTCTTCTCAAAGACATCATCATCAGCTTTGTCCTTTTCAAACTCCTTCTGGCAACGATTCAGTAACAACTTGCGGAAATTGACTGTGCTCCCGGGCTTGTCTGCCATGGGTACTTTCAGCTGAATGCAAAAGACAAACACAAGGAAAAAGCCTGACTAAACCTTACACACACAGGACGTTTTTACGCGCTCGGGTTACTCTTTATCATGCATTTAACATACAGTAACACCAGTGTACAAAGCAACTACAAGTTAAGGTTTTTTCAAAGTTTCTACTAGAATTCCAGAGTTTTTGAGGTTCATAATTCAGAATAATCTGTTAATAAAATTTATTTGACAACTTGCCAGCGTCAAGGCATAGAAATTTCATAGGATGCTTCTTAAGAGACATGATTTAAGCAAATCGTTTAAAAAAAATGGATTGTGCCCTTCGCATGCATTCTGCAGCAACGGTACACTGAGACTGACCATTAACCGTGTGCTCTCCACGTACATTGTGAACATATATTACCAACCGTTAACAATTCACATACACACGGTAGCTAAATATTATCAAGTCTACTAATCTGCAGAGTTCATTTCAGAAAGGTTCCACCTGGGGACAGCACGACACTAATGATAAAAATAGGGATCAAAACGTTAGGAAAATAAGGATCATTGTTCAGTCTTTTATGGATAAAAACATGCTCGCATTAAGTTGGGTGATTTTGTTCTCCCTTATCTGGCCAGAAGCTTTCTGATGCCTGAAATGACTTTCCTGGAGGCAGCTTTTTTTGTCTGTGAGCGACAAGACACACTATTTCTGATAGGATTAATTTTCTCCATCACTACCCTCTCCTTCTGTTTTCCCTCCTCCTTTTCTATGCTTTCCACCCCTTATCCCATCTTCCACCTCCATTTTCCTCTCTGTATTTTCAGTAAGCACTGTCTATTCACTGATTTGCAAAGTTTTAATGGCCGACACCAGGAGCACGACTGACGCTTAACATACGGGCACTTGTCATTCTGCCAACAGCATGACCAGGGCTTTCGGTTGTAGCCAGGTTGATCTGAGGACACAGGCAGACAAGGCTCTTTGAGTAGATGTGATATCTTATTAGACTATTTATTACACTATTAATTGGTCTAATAAAAGATATCACATCTACTCAAAGAAACTCAAAAGCATGACCAGGAATTCTTGACTATATTGTTGGTCATTCTACACCACGAGGATAAAAATCCTAATGTGTGATGGGAATCGTGTAGATATGGCATCATCCTGTGTCCTTCAATGAATTCTGGATTTGATGTCAATTCCAACGGGGTCTTAGGCTATATTATGTGTCAGTAATGTTTCTTTAAATCGCCACATCAAGATGGCAATTGCATTGTCCTATAATACGAACGAGCACTGGAGCTGCTATAAAATATTACAATAATGTTCTGTGCATGTTTTCATTTGAGTCGGTACAGACATGGGTCAGATACCTACTTTATAGTTTAAAATTTGCCTCAGAACAGACTTACATTATATATATATATCAACACCCTGTGTCTATTAAGAATAACCTGCTGCAGTTAGTATAATACCTTTTTATATAAAGCATCATAAACAGTGCAAAAGAGCCACTATACATATAATTGAGAGCACAGTCAGGCATATAAAACCATTAGCGATAATGAGGCTCAAGACAGAAAGAGTAAATCAACCGTCAGAGCTTGTGGAACTGGAAGTTTGAAATGTTTTTTTAATTGCAAGCTAAGCAAATTTGTTCTGGAAAGGAGGACGAGAGCGCGGATCTGGAGCTCCATAGCCCTGCTACCATGGATTGGTCCTTAGGGCCGCACTGCAATTTAACGCTCGATTCTTCAAAAGTGCTCAGTGCACAACAGCAACAAACTCTGCCTGTGAGGTTCAGCACTGCTTATCTGACTGTCCATACAGACTATACACAGGTGTGAACACTATTTTGTAATACAAGATATTCCTAATTAGACCAAAAAGTTCCATAACAAATACTATGGAGTCTAATTCTGCCCCGACATTACATAATTTCCGTTTTTGTTCAGAAAATTTACCCATGGGAATTTCCTATTTGATGTCTGCTACTTACCGTCACAAGACATCTACACATGTTTGCATAAGCAACAGAAAAGCTGGGTTCATCAATGGCTTTCTCGAACACCAGGTCAATGACTCCTTTCAGCCTCTCTTCTGTGTCTACCGTCAGGTCCGTTACTTGTTTCATTAGCTGATTGAACATCTGCGGCGTCAGCTTGTTTAAGATGCTTCGTACCTTGCGGAACAGCTCCTAAACAGGACGGGAAAGCAGTAAGCACTGAGCGCAGAATACAGGAACAGCCTATGATAGTGATCTGGACAATGAACTAATTTGCACCTTAACAGTGAACAGAAGAGCTTTTTAAAATACATCTTTAAGATGCCAAGTCATAACAAGAAAATATCTCCCAGATCTGAACATACAGTACAATCCTCAGACCAATCCTTAACCAGAGATGCTATCTACTCTGCAGGAACACCGCATCATCATGGTCATCAGCAGTAGCGGATGGCTTGCTGGTCCGGCTGGCCAGGTGGTGCCTGCGTGGCAGCGCGGGATGCTCCATGGCGGTGCTCAGTCCCCACCCCGCCCACACGTATCCCCAGATGCCAACCCCTGGCTTAGACTATTCTTCACACTAAACCAGTAGTTCTCAACCTCATTAGACTCAAAAGGCCCCTCTCAAAATTGACAGCTCTGCGTTTTCACTCATTTTTTGACTACAAAAAATAAAAGAGCAATTCTTCTCTTGCAAAGAACTCAGAAAGACCACAGCAAACCAGAATATTTTTAACACTACAGATTCCCATTTGAAATCTCTGGGTTTAAGCTGCTGAATCACGACTGCACACCTAACAGTGCTAACACTGCATGGCACTCTGCAGCCTCCCTGAAAGGATCTCAAGGCACCTCAGGGTGCTGCGGAACCCAGGCTGAAAATCGCTGTAATGAAAGTTCAGCACATTTAGTAAAAGTCAAGGTTTTGCACAACAAGCCTGCAGCTGGCACCAGAACAAAATCCCACTGTACTCCAAAAATATTCCAGTTTACCCTCCCATGTCTGAGATCCGAAACCGTGCCACCAAGCAAACATCCCCACCCGCGGCGATGCCCTCTGAAGGGGTGGGGCTGAAACCTACAGAGGAATTTTCTGATATAATGGTGTTGGCTCGGGCACAAGTCGGCAACAGGGAAACTCGCTGAGGAATCTTAGTACTGCTGAGGCTCAGAGCATGCATGCAGTATGAAAGGGGATGAAAAGGCAGTTCTGTGCTGGGAGCTTCAAGTTGTTTGCTTTCAAAGTCAAGACAAAAATAGTCAAGTAAACTGGCTGCAGAGAGGTAGTAGGTTGTCTGGTATTCCCTGTCTGTACTCACTTGACATCAACTGATACCATTTCAAATCTGAGTAAGATTAAAAACAAAAATGAGGACAGAGGAGAACTACATTTCAAGCTGGACTTCAACAGCTCTGGGCAACATCCCCTGTAACAGCAGAAAGACCAGAGAATGCCACTATAACAAGGAGAAACCACCATCTTTCATTTGATGGGGAAAAAAAAGATGGATTAGCCACTGCTGAAATTTACCCCCAAATTTGCCAGTGCTCACGAGACGTTTTTAGTTCTCACCTGGGTCTTGATATTTTCTGGGTCCTCGGCTTGGCTGTCTCTTTTCAGGCTTGGCTTCCAAGCATTCTCTGCTTTCTTCAAGTGGACATCTTCTTTCACACACACAGTGATGATCTTCCTGGGCTCCCTTCTCTGGCCTGGCTGAGATCTCCTCGGTCCAACATTCAACAACTAGGACAAAAATATTCCTTATTATATCCCCTTTTAAACTCTGAGTTCACAATACATGCTCCAGTGCTCCAGTTAACACCTGCTGGTGGCAACACAATCAATCAGCAATGCACATGGCTACTTTTACATTTCCCTCTCAGCCAACGAACTAGTGTAGAGGAAAGTTTTTCTCTTTTTAAGGCACACATGCCAGACACATTCTTCTCCCAGGAAGCCATCGCCATAACCGATATGCAATGCCTGCTGCCTATCAGACTGCATTTTCTCAGTCCTGCAACTCTCCAAGATCTTTGTACTCTGGAACTGGGTGCTGCTGGCCGCAGCAAAGTCCCCCCAAACGGAAACTGTTTAACTAAGAAATCACCGCAAAGCATGTTTCAGGGCCAGGCAGCCCCTATTCATCTATTTCAGACGTACAAGCTCAGACTATTAAGTAATACTTTTGGTAAATCTATTAGCTCATTTTTAACTTTTCCACTGAACTTTCTCTTAAACAACAAAACCATTTTTGAGTTACACAAGTTATTAAAAGTGCTCTGAATGGCAGGTCATTCCCAACCAACATCTTAGGCAAAGGTAGTCACAGCTGACAGGGTTCAACTGTTCATAAACTTCACAGCCAGAAGAGAGCGTAGAGTTTTCTTTGAAACATGGCTCCCTCCACTCCCTTCGGAGCATGGCCTGTTCAAAGCTACACAGAGATGCTGCAGATGGCACAGAAAAGATTTTCACTGTTTGCATCAGCAATGGGGTAAAATGCACACGCACAAACCTCTCACCAGGGTCATCTTTGGCCTCTTGACTGAGCACACTGGATGGTGCACTACCCAAGTTTTATTTTCCCTCTGACCACACATATGTTTGAACATATGTGTCAGAAACACCTGAACTCAATGTAAAATGACGTGTTATGTCAACAGTCCTTTAAATGCTGGTCAATGAAACATGTTTGACATTTCACTGTGCAGTAAGCAACTTTTAAATAACACACAGTGGCTATTTTTAAAATATCTCTGTTTGACCGAGTAGTTAATCCACACTAGGGAAGCAAAACCATTTGAGTTATTTAAATGACTAAACTGATTACATGAAAAAAGGTGTCTGTGAGCAGATGCCTTGCATGCCAAGTGCAGCCAAAAATACATTTTGGCACAGTTAGAAACCCCGGAATATAGGAGCTTATAATAGGAATTTTAAATACTTCACTTTGCCAGAACAAACGGGTGCTGCTGATGAAAGAGAATCAATATACTAATTGTCACTGCTGGGGTTTCATTAAACGATATGGCCAACAAAATAAAATGCTGTCAAAGGATAATGCTCTCATGCAGCTACATGCTTTTTATGCCAGGACAAAGCGCTGCAGAGGGCAGATGATGCAGAGGGTTAGTGCACTAGTTTTTTACCTAGGGAGACTGCAATCAAATACCACCTTACAGCATATGTGCAAGTCAAAGTCTCATCCTACGTCCTACTTGTGCACACCATAAATACCACACCACTGCACAAGTCAGCCCTTGACGCTGAAGAGATTAGTAAGCCAGTACTGACCATACACAGCACTTGCTAGCATTATGCCTTAGTGAACTCAGTGCTGTCCCCATCACCCCAGTTTAACAAATACCAAAAGTTCACCTCCATTTTCGTTTAATGACTTTCTCTAGATTGACACTTGTGTGACACAGCAAAATCTGCCTCGGAGCCCAGGATCATGACATTCGTTTGTGTCGATCCACAGCCAACGTTACAAAGTACTCTCAGCCTCTCAGGGCCACGATAAATGTGTAATACATACGACAGAAGCTTCCCTTCCCCTTCAAGCCAGAAAACTAAGCAGAAATGAAACAAACCCAACCCCGAACTCCCGCAACTCTGCACGGCAGCTTTCTGATGCCTTTTCCTTTACAACTTTGGAAAGAGATGAACTTGCAATGTGCCATACACGAAAATAATTTGGGCTATTTTAGTCCAGTGGCATCGGAGAAGGAAGTTTGTAAGCCGCGGGCCCCTCCTGGAAGGCAGCCAGCTAGCAGGTCCCTCTCTTTTACACACCAGGGCGGCTCTAGCTTGAAGGGCCTTCTTGATCTGCAGCTGTGGCAGAAAGGCACGAGGGTCAGAAGTGTCAAATAGGTTCCAAAATAAAGGGCTTACAGACACTTCCTAAACAACGTGTCTATGTGGAGCCGAGGCATTTCTTTAGCAACAGCTCTATTTCCATTATAAAAACGAATGATGCAGACACCATTGCTCTATCTGATGGACACTGGTGCAACGGAGAGGGACTACAGCAGCTAACTTCATGAAAACTGATTAGTTTCGAGAACAGCTCTTTGAAGGTCTAGAGGAGCAGTTTTAAAACTAGCCTTTACATTTGTGAATAAGCTGGTCTCAAACGGCTGAATGCCTGTCAGCTCTTAAAAACACACAGTAAAAATTTCTCTCCCTAAAATGATTAATATAACATTAAAATATCACTTAGACTGTTAGCTTTTTGGGAGCTGGACCATTTTGTTGTTCTGTATTTGAACAGTAGCAAGTATGACAGGGCCCTGATCCATAGCTGGGTTATTTGGTGCTACCATAATGCAAATTTATACTAATAACTGTACAGTGCCTTCAATAACAGTGCTCCCTTTTGCACCTCAGAAGCATCTTCCATCATGGGCTCTCAAAGTCCTTAAAAAGGTTAATTAATTCTTATAGGCCTCAGAGAAAATTGTGGCAGAATTTCAGGGATTTACCCAGCTGAGTCAGAAAGGGAGCAATAAATCATCTAAATGGGACTCCGGCGCTTTCTTTCTGGTTGGGCTTTTCTGTCTTAGAATGTAAACAGAATAATTACTCAAAAAACATTCGGAAAACCAAAGGAGGAAGCCTGCTTCCCTTTGTATGCATTAGATATACTCTCTTGTTGCACAATTAAGTCCCACTTGTTTCTGCGTTTTTCAGTTTTCTTCTGTTCAAATGTGTCTATGACTTATCTCCTTCTGCACTGGTTTGTTCAAGATTTGCTATTTCTGCAAATACTCAAATGAAATGCTTATTGGAAAGCAACAAAGAAAGCTAGAAAATGAAAAGTAAAAAAAAAAGGTTCTAATTTGTTGACGGCTCGTTTGCTTTGAGCAGCTTGACATTATTTCGGGGCAGGGATTAAGCAGTGGGTTTTGATGGTTTATGGGCATGGCCTGTGTGAGGATGGAATGGTAGGAGAAGACATACAGCATCAATACAGATTTTGCTGTGCTTTACAAGAGGGAAACATTTGATTTTGGTGGGCTGAAATCTGTTCCATCCTATAATAAATAATATTATAGGATACCCAGTTTGTTACCTTTAAAAACGACCCTAGGAAATGCAAAGGAACTACTCTTTAAAGGCGCAAATGTAAGATGTATGTTATGTGCCAAATGCTCCAAATGAACGGGGTAAGCAGGACTTACCTTTTCTCCCCCTTTCCACAGGTCTGCAAAGTGCAGACCCACCGCGGATCCCGCTCAGGCCAACGTCCCAGCATGCCCTCTGCTGGTGATGTCCCACCCACCACTGAAGAGACTGCCTAGAGGGGTACAATGCAAGTCTTGTTTTTGTTTTTTTTTTTAAGCAATATTGCACCTTTTTGCAAAGTTTTCTTTTCCTCTTATTCTTTATAAACAATCCAATTATGAAAAAAAGAAAACTTTACAACAAGGGGCAAAAATGGGGGGGAAAGGGGAGGGATTTGGCTTACCCCCATCGGCAGGTTCCTCAATGGTGGGTGAGACGAGACCAACAGAGGGCATGCTGGGGTACCACATCGAGCCAGAGAAGGCAATCCAGGGTTGCTCTGCATTTTGCAGGCCTGCAGAAAGAGAAAGACCGATGTTGAAGTTAGTACAGCGCCTAGCGTCTTGCGCATTGTTTATTTGAGGCATTCGGCACGGAAAACTAAGGTGTGAGGCACTGGTGTACAACCTGCGGCCCAATGAGGAGTGTCTAAACACAGGAAGTGATGTCGCCAGGAAACAGCATCCAGCCTTCAGGGCTGAGTCATCATGTTTTGAGACTAACTGCAACACTGAAGCTATTCAAAGACAAAGACACACATGCACACATCCCTGAACTGCACCATTGTTCACAGTACCGCTTTGCAAAATGGAAACATTACAGCTATTTCCAAGTCTGAATCAAGTCTGCGGCTTTACATGCTAGCATCCTGGAAAGCTGCTGACTCAAGAGCGAATGCTCTTTGGAGAGCTCTCTCTCAACAAGGAGTTTTAGGATAGATGATCTTCCCTTCTCTGCTTCTCTCCCTCCTCAAGACATCATTTCCCTATCCAGTTGCTATCTGCTCCTCTTCAGTTCACTTACATCCACCAGCCACAGATCAGTGAGGAGTGGAAATGTAAGCCACTTCTTATTGCACAGCTGAAGCATGCAACGAGAATACAGCATAGCTAGCAGTGAGGTGGAGCAGAGCTAAGCTGAACCTTATTTTCAATCAGTCACAGCAACCTCAACCTTCAGGTTGCAGCTGGTTTGGCCCTTGTGCTGAGACATCGCTCTTTAGCCAACCACGATCCAGGGACAAAGAAAAGGAAGGAGGAAGAATCAAAGGGAATTTGTCGAATTCAGGAGGGAGGGCAAAACAAAATAAAATAGTGGTAGCAAAAATGATGAGGAAAGAAATCAGTATAAAGGAAGAGAAAAGAGAAAATTAAGTCAATGAGGCAAATGCAAGGAAAGAAAAGGAAATGAATAAACAGGGGGGAAAAAGAGAAAAGCAAGAAGACACAACAGCTTTTTGCTAAGTTAAAGATATTTTACTTGCATTTAATATAAATGGATTTCTGTGAGAACGTGCACTGACACGCAACTTATACAAGTGAAAAATGCCCCTGCATATTAGTTGCAACCCCCAAGCCCTTGATATATAGCCCTGCTAGTCCTCAGTGCAACACAAGTAGTGCATCACTGCCATAAGAATGAGTCCGAAGCATGCATTTTCAGATCTCTTGCAAGTAAGAAAGGGGGAAAAAATAAGATCAAATCCATCCAAGTTTAATTCTATCAAGTGAAAAGCTCTCTCAATGATTTTTTTTTATCCGCTTCAATATTAGCACTGAAGGAAAGCTTCAACTCCTATTCTGTCTAAAGCAGAATAAGCAAATTATCTAAGAACCTAAATGAAGCTTTCTTCTTATGAGATCAGATTTCATAGACAGTGAGACCAGTTTTGAACTTAGCAAGTTTGGGGAGAACTCACACTTCCAGATACGCCCCTTCCACCGGATGCTTGCCTCCCAAAATCGGCAAAGGCTGGTGTGAAATCTGGTCCCCGAGGCAATATCCGAGGGTCCAGAGTTCTCACTGGCAATTTTGGCTGATTAATCTGCATGGTGGAACAACAATAAACAAAGCACCTGTTAAAACATTTGTGCCGTGACTGTTACAGACACATGCAGACAGTATGCAACCCCCTCCCCTCCACCAGCCAGTTACATGTAGGGATAGGACAGAGGTTAATTCTTTGATGTTTTCTATCAATACCCACAATGACTTATTAAATACATATTTCATTTGTGCCCCGTCTTACACAAGTGGGTGTTACACAAACAGACAACAGAGGCTTGGAGAAATCAAGAATGTGCCAGGGTTAGAAAATGGGACATGACAGAGAGGATATAACAATGGCTATATAGGCCTGCAAAACAAATGTCATAGTCCCAGTACAGGATCACAAAACTGTTGCCTTCCCTGAAACCATTATCTTTCATGTTAATAAGATAAATGGCTGATCAAGCAAGGAAAGCTCCAAAGAGGGCGGGGACGGGCCAGCTAGTGTCACAGAAAACTGGATAAGAAGCTGGCCTCCCCGCGAAGAACGTGGCTGTTTAACAGCTTTCACAGTCCTTGGAAAATATTTGTCCACCACAAAAAGGACAGGTAATTTGATTCACGCTGTAATTAAAAGTACTCTGTTCTGGTCTGTTGAGTGCATGTAAAGCTACCTGAAAATCAACACGGATGTAGCCAAGCTGGTCTTAAAGCTAGCTCTTTTAAAACAATAACCAAGAGCTTTTTTTAACAGGCAGACAAAGCAGAAAAAAAAAAGGCAATTGTGTAATGATATTCGGATAAAAAAATGTAATCATTATGTTGTTCTATGGTCAATCAATACAATCCTGCCTAGCAAAGTGAAGTTTTTAAAGAAGCTAATCTGCACTTCATGATCAGTGTTCATTCAATCAATCAATCCCAGCTACACCCCCCCCACCCCATTTTACAATACAGGGCTGTCCAACGGGTGGCCTTTCAGCCCTGTGAGCCCTGAGCTCCTGGGTCTGGGCAACACTCTCCTGCTGCCGCTGAGGTCTCCGGGCTCCCCTTTCCTCCTCCAGGGACAGGCCAGGGCAGGGGGGCACAGGACTCTGCTGCTGGGGAAGCCTGCACAGAGCTGCCATGTGGCCCCTGCAGTGCATGTGGCCCATCAGTCCTATTGCAATACACTGCACTTTTATTAACTGTGACTTTAGACAAAGTGCCCCTTCCCTTGCTGACCCACACACCAGAGAATTCAGTTTGCATTAGACTGCTATTAATTCCTGATGCCCAGAGCATGTGTCACGGGACCAGGAACCTGGTTATGCTACTGGCATCTGGAAATTCAGATGCTTTAATCCTTCAAAGATTAAGGAGCCACTCTCTCAACCCACCCCTGCCCAGTTAAGCGATTCCTCATACTGAGATCTTTATTTCTTTATAAGAAAATTTGCACATACCTGTTTTATTGGGTCTCCTCTCACCTTGTCGAGGACCACATCACTTATGGGAGGCAGCCCTTCTGGCTTCTGTATACATGCAGGCATGAACTGGAAGTCCAGCAAAAACTCCCTATCATACTGCTTCTTTCCTTCAGGATCCACGGGTTTCCACTGCTCTATAATGACAGAAGTTGACTAAGGTTCATAGGCAACAAAGAGAGCTTTGCTCCTGAAAAAGTACATAGTAGATAAACCTAAAGGAAAATAACTTTGGCTAAAAAAAGTTTTTATTTTCACTTAGAAACAAACAAGGCTGGGGAGGGGGAAAAGGGGCATGGGAAGAGACTCCCATATCCAATTATTAAAGCATATCCAATACAGTCAACTCCAACACAAATCTGAACACCACCATGACTTAACTTTTGCACATGCCTCTAGATTGCCTACACACAGTCCAAATCAAGGATAGTTTTATTATAAATAATCAGCATCAGGGCTAAAGGAGGCCGGTTCTGAAAACGGAGCGATGAAATGCTTTGACACTTGAGACTCTACGCTGGGAGCAAGACAATTCCCCAGCAGCTTGGAAATGTTTTTCTTTATGTCAGTGTTTAGGGTAAGACAAATGGCAGAAACGAGAGAGACCGGGGCAGTTGCAGATATGAGGAGGCACACTTGAGGTTTAAAACTTTTCACTTCTTTAACTATGGCTTTCTCAAAGGGATACAGCTGATTGTGGTGCGGAGAGAAAAGTAACTTGCCTGCCCGAGAACAAAGCAAAAACCCACAGCCTTTGCAGCATATAGCAAATTAGCATCTCGTAGCCTGGAGCCATGATTTTCTCTGCTGGCCGCACAGCTTGTTTGAAGTTAGAAAAGAAAACAGTCACTTGCTGAACAGCCGGGTTGATTTAGTTAGACCCATAAATGGGGAAGCGCAATTTTATCTGAAGCAAAACATCTGTAAAATAGACCTTATTTGTATTTTACTGCCACTGAACTGCATTGCTTTACGTCCTCCCAGTCCATTGGCCTATTCTAATAAGCTTTTCTTCCCTTGGTCTTTCTACTAGTTCCACATTTTATTCCTTTGACTCTTGAGTTTGGAGGCTCTGGTTTTAAGCATCATTATTCCACAATAAAAACCTCCAAATGAGAAGTTTTAGTAATTGGGAAAGAAAAGTAAGTTATTATAAAACAGTTTTTATGGTTTTTCATCTATAGACTTCAAAGTCATATAGAAGTTACTGTTATTCCCCACATGGAGAAAACAAGGCCAAAAAAGTAACTTAGTGGGCCAATAACCAGGTCAGAAGGTGAGTCCCAATCCAGCAGCACCTCCGCTGGACACTTCCTCCTTACTTGCAAGTGGAGGAATGTTAAGAACACAGCAATCGTCATCACACGCGCGCCCTCCCTTGGAAATTTGTTTAAAAGGAATTGTAGCATAAGAAGCAGGCATTTGGCAGAAAAGTCAAAGGCAGGGTTTCTGTGCGGGCAATCGTGGAGCACAGAAGGAGAACTCTTCCTGCAAGCTAAAAGGCAAAATCTGTAACTTTGAAAAGAGAAGGTCTAACCATCTAAAGAGAAGGTTTTTGTGTCACCTGCCAGGATCACCTGGCTTTCCAAAGGGACGCATTTGGTTTATTCCTTTTAGGGGCTAATGAAAGAACAGCCAAATTTAGGCTGTAAACTGCTCCGGATCCAGAGGATCATTGACTCTTGATGCACATCTGATAAATTACAGGTTTACTCTTAGTCCCGTTGATCTGACAAGCAGGCAGGCTACCATACATAGCTAGTTGGCTTTTGATTTTTGTTGACAATCATACTAGGCTAGCAACAGAATGACTAATTTCTGAAAATTAATGCAAGAAAAAGTTCCTCTGATCTTTAACAGAGAGGAGCTTGAGGAAGGAGAAGCAGAGTAATCAGACAGCAGTATTCTTGCTCTACTCTACCTCTTCTCTTCTGCATGCATTCCTCACCTATTTGCTTTACACTTTATATTTTTAGGCTCTCAGAGAAATTATTTCATTTACATGGAAGAAGCCTCACCTGAAAAATAAATCCCCTGAAAATTTGTACCAGCTAAGAGGAAAGAGCATGCCTCATGATCTTTGCTGGAAAAAGACGACTACACTGCAGTTCAAGCTACGTCAGTTCAATATCATCATTAACTTAAACAAACCTCAAGTACAGCATATGTGGTGCTAAGTACCAAGAATATTCTCGTATTCTTCAAACCCACTCTGATCATGCCATAATACACTTGCATTCCACAGCCTGATTACAGCTGGAAACCTGGGATTGGACTGAACAGTAACATGCAGTATTTCTTTTCCTTCAGTTAGCACAGACTCCAAAAGGATCGTCTTTCCTAATTAGGAACAGTTTAAAAACGGAAGGTTGTGAACATCTGGATATAAGTCAGGGACTAAGGTCAGACTATTCACCCCTTCTGGTATTAAAATCTAAAAAACTGTAGTCAGGTAATTTTTTAAGCTATACCCCTTGCTTTGTTTTTTTGTAGCTAAATCCTGTAATGTCAGCTTTTAAACCTATTTCAAATAAAGATCTGTTGGCTTATAGTACAATAGAGCTATTAAATAAAGAACGAACTCACTGGTTCTGTTGTGCGAGTCAAATATAATTATACCTCCTCAAATCAGGGTTTCTAAAATTAAGAAAGTTCCTTAGATCACTCTCAACAGCCAGCCACATTTTAGCTAACTCACAGTCACTAAGGATCATGCTGAAGCCATCTACACTCAGACATGCTATAAATTCAAGCAATCAGGGATTTTCTTCTCTGTTTTTCTCTAGTCTTGTCTTCTCTTCTTCACTACCAGAAACAGAAAGTGACATTTTTTGTAGTGTCCTCCCAGAAACTTTTCGTAGGGCTGTAGATTAGCAAAATCCCACCAGTGCGTGATACTGTAAAATGAAATATGTTCCCTAGCCAAGTCCACCACTTTCAGTCCATAAGGATCCTTCTTTCCTTAATGAGCATGCAGCATTCCCTACCGGTTGTAACAGAAAGAGAAAGGGAGAAAGGCAAGCATTCGGGCAGGCTGGCAGGTAGGGTTTACCTGGTTTATACTGGTATCCTGGCCCTTCCGTGGAACCTTCTGTGACGCCCGAGTTAGCATCAGGTCCTTCACCCTCTGACACGCTCTCAGCACCATTACGTACAGGCTCCACTTCCTGCTCTCCGTTTTCTTCCACAGCTTTTGTTTTTTTAAGTTCAGAGGGGTCTCTCTCCAGTTGAAACCCATGGCTCATTTTATCCTGCTCAGATTCAAGTACTTTGTCACCTGAAAGTTCCTCTTCTACTTTAGGCTGAAGTACAAGCCAACAGAAGTTATGATTAAAAGCAATATCTTTTCTAAAACATTCAGTACGTGAAGTGGAGACATACTAAAAACAAGAGCACATGCACTCATCTCAAAAACGGACAGCTAAAACTATGAACACATGTAATAATAATAAGGTCCTTTTACTTTATTTAAATATTGCCTGAGAACCCATCAACAATTAACACTGGAACTGGAAACCCTGAATCTCACCCATCGAGTCCCTATGTTGGTAGGAAACAATTGAAAGAACCAGTAACAACTGTACTACGCGCTGGGCGACTATTAGGAATCTCAACCCATAGAGACAGGACTACAACCAGTATGCAGGGGTCCCTTCTTTCAAAGACAACTGCCTTATACAAACTAGAGACTATTCTAATACATAAGGCTAATGTCATATATAAGTACATTTTTAGTTTGCTGTTACTTTTCATGAAAAATCTCTACATATTTTCTGCTATCTCTAGCTGTTAATTTTAGAACTCCCCCAGGCACAGCCTTATTTTGATTACATATAGGAAGATGTAGGGAACATGCTCTTCTTGGGAGATGCATGCATTTGAACACATCCATCCATTTAAAGAATGTTGCAACTCATTCCTGATGCTCTACAAGGGACGTGTGAATCCTTTCATTTCCCAAAAGGATTGCAGTAAAAAAAAGTATTGCTCACAGAACAGAATATCTAAATTTGCTAAGTTTTCTCTACCTAAATTCAGCATTAGTGAAAGTGCCAAAAGTCCTAGAGACTGAAGTCTACTTGCAAGTACTGAAAAACCATATGGCTTGTGTAAATTCTTTGCCCATGGAAGGGGAGGGGACTTCAGTTTCCATGGATCATTAGTCATTGACCTGTTGAATAAACTGCTACGGTGGCCAACTGCGATAGAACGATATTTTGTAAGGAGAGCGTCACAGGCACCTACCCACTAGGAACTGGATGGGAAGCACGTAATTACGTATGTATATACAATTAATATGCAACTGACGTGCAATTAATATACAGGAGTGACAGCAGGTATTTGCTGACACAAGGCATGTTGTTCCTGCTACACCCACTATCAATCACACACCGAACAAAGATTCAAGATTTACTCTACAAATCTAGACAGCTTTGGGGCAAATTGTTTCTACCGTGGAAGTGTGTCATGATGGTCGAGTTACAGGAAAATGAAGCAGACGACGACAGAAAGCTGTGGAATGCACAGAGGGTTCTGGACAGGTTAGTTTGAACAGCAAAAAAGTCCAGAGACAATGTGCAATTCTTCTCTATTTATCTCATTTAGCTGAGTTCAGGCAGTTTTTTGTAGTTGTGCTGATTAAAGACAGTTTTAACTGATCTGAGCACAGTCTTTATTGCTACCTCCCCCTTTCCACAGCCGTTTCTAATTCTAGATATCCCAGGTCATTTAAAGCAACTTAAAGACAAAGGTTCGGTTCTAAAATATCATCACACGACGACAAACAAAAGGAACATCCTTGGGGCTCCTATGTATCTTTATTAAAGGCTCATGCCAGCACTGTACTTCACATTAGACTTCAGATCAGGCTCGAGCTGTTCCTCACATTAGACTGTGTAGCGAGCAGTTCAAATAACAACATTCCCGTAATGCCACAGCAGCAGAAGTTTAATTTTGGTTTGATTAACTTTCACGTTACCTCTGCAAGCTTCCGTTTCCAACAGATCATAAACAATTCCCTAATGCAGCAGGACTCTGCCCAGCAGAGCCTGAAATATTTCAAATGATTTATGACAGCGCATAACACATTTTAACAAGAGAGGAGGAATCAAAAAACAATATTAAAAAAACATTTAACACTATGAATGACTGTGTGGAATAGTGCTGGCAAACAGTTATTCAGGCAACACTTGCTAAGTTGGAGGACCGGATAACTACTAGCGCTACCGTACTGACATTAAACCAACCCCTTGGTCTAGTCTGTCATTCCCTGGAGAAGCAGAGGTTGAGACTGCTCTCATAGTAACTCTAGCCATTCTTCAGTCTCCCGTCCCCCTTGGGACGCATGATGGAAGGGAATAATGATGACCAAGACACAAACCGTAAGGACTGGGAACAAATGTTTAGGGTAACAGTGGAAATAAGATATTATTGTCTAAAAAGTAGTGAAAAATGATGAACAAGACAGGTAACTGCACCAGAAAAAGAATCAACTTGGCTTATATCACTACACTTGGGAATACATACTATTCCTTGCTTTTTACAGGAGCTAATGGGAACATATCCCCTGAAGAAGCAGTATCTCGCTTCTCTACCTTCAGCACCTATGACGGAAGATCCCAAGCTCCTTGCCCTCCTGCCCCAGCCACATATCAGTGTCGCTGCCACCATGGAGCTGACAGGGCAGAGCTGATGTTACGTGGAAAAGTGGCCAAAGGTAACGAATTGCAGATACTAGTTTAAGTAGTAATCTGAGGGAAGAAAACCCAGCAAGACAAACTACAGGGAATTACTGCACTCATGTTATATTATTTTAAAGTTACTGTGCAAAGGATGAGAAGTTGCCCTCAAACTACTGATAACAGCTGTATAGCTCCGTTTCCTACACCAAGCAGACAATAATCTCATTGACCCTAAGAGACTACCACAGACTTTTCTGGGATCACATTCTGCTCTTGAAGAGGTACTGCAACAGCCCAAATGAAGGCATCGAGAGCTGTGTGCACTTATCCAAGGGCAACGCATGCCCCTTCTATAGAGAGGAGCCCATATCAGACTACCAGTACGAAGGACCTCACATGAGTGCAAACTTGAGAGAGATCAGGCAGAGGGAAATCTCTTTGACTTGCTGGAAGTGTTCTTTGTTCCTGTAGCTATTCTCAATATGCAGGTTTGCATGTAAACTTCCACTCTCATCTTAGCTTCTCCTCCCAACTTAATTCTGTCATGAAGACCTAGTTCTTTGTTTATGACATCACAAATACGTCATTGTGAAGAGCACAGGTATGCCCCGGGCACTACAGCAACCACTGAAGCCCTTTACTGAGCTCCAACAGGCTCCAAAGGAAGAGCTATCCAAATCTTCACATGAATGACAATGATCATGTTGTGGGCCCGTAACTGTGGCGTAGATATAAACTAGGCAAAAATGTAAGCATCTTTAGTAGAGTAATAGAGACCTTAGCCTAATGAAATCTGTTTGAAGTAGTGTGAAAAGCATCCTAGTTTGCCCCGTCAGTTGAATGGGATGCAGTGAGATGTCTGCAGTAGTCTTAAAAGAGGGTTACACTACCCTCAAATCGAGAAATAGGATTACACTGCTCCTTACCTCTGTTTCCGCCTCCAACACCTCCTCAGTGGCTTGGGTCCGATCTTTTGGTTTCTTCCACGTCTTTGGTGCAGTTACAGCTGTTTGGGCTGCAATACAAGTTTATGCCCATTACTCGCCAAAACCAACTCATGCTTGGAACATTCTGGTCCTGGGAAGTGGCTCCACTCTCTCCTGAGCAATGTTTTCCAGCATTCAGAAAACTGAAAGCAGCCAAAGCCTTGTGCAAAATTAAGATCCACGCGATTACTTTTTAGCTAAAGGCAGTAATGCTAAACGGCCAGGGAAACATTAGAATGAGAGAGAACTTGTTTTATGAACTGCTCTATCTTTTAAAAGTACTTTACCAGCAAGGAGTTAACTACTGGTATTATTACAATGTCTGTGTACTTCATGCAATACAGTTTTTTGAAAGAATTATGTTTGGCGAGGACGGCGGGGTTATGCGTTGTACATTTTGCCCCCAAGAGCGTTCTAACATTTTTTTACTTGCACTTGGATGGCAACTCTAACTCCAACACCTTGCTAGCAATATGCTTCTCCTGAATTGTGTCTTTAATAAAGGCCAATTAATAACCACACTTTTTAAAGCTTCCACTAGCCAGTTGGTTCAGTGAAAATAATATAACATATTTACAGCCGTTAACAATCTTGTCTCCCCATCAATTTTCATGTCAGTGAAAGAGAGCATGTAGAATATTAATAACTGAGACAGTCAAAATATATGAATTCAAAATCTGCAAGACTGCTTCTTCTTGTTTGGGACACTAATACATGGAATATGTGCGCGCTTCCCTGTGTAAGTGTGAATGAGGTTGCTCAAAGGCTTAAAGGTAAGCACGTACAAACTGCTACTCAATGTCTGACTCTGCTTTCTAACAGTAGCTATGGAGCAACATGGCACGCACATCCTTTATTAAAACTGAGAGATAAAATGAGAAGAATTTAAGAGCCAGATGAATAAAGGGCAGTCACATATTAAATATGTCATAATTAGATTTTTAGTTGCTGGCATTTATTCCTGTTGGCAGAGAGAGGAAATAGGGTTAATCAAGTTCCTAGTGCCCCAAAAGATGCCTGGGCGGTTCAGTGACATGTTAACAGAGTTTAGCTTGAGGGAGACTATGGATTTTGAGAGGCATCATCTGAAGTCTGCAGAAATCAATACAGTGAGCATGCTGGTTAGAAGATGACGTGTCACAAAATGTACTTTCACTGATACTGAAATTGTCACTTCCCCTCTTTAATATTACATAGGCAAAAAAGGTCATCTATATTCAACGCTACTAAAAGAGGGCTTTGTCATTCAAGACAAGCTCATGAAACAAAGGATCCAAACGTCGTTTTCTATTAATATAACGCACGATGAAGCTGACAACAATTTCAGTCTTAAACACCAGGAGTAGTTGGGTGAATTTAGAGAAAAATCACCAGGTACACCCACTGTGACAAGCTCAGCTTTTTAAGAAAAGCACTGAACTTTTATACAGAGCTTTTCAGTCACAGACCTCAAAGAACATTACAAAGGATGGGTAGTTTCACCATCTTTTTTAAAAATCTTTACAGGCGTTGACACTGAAGGACAAGGAGATGAACTGGTTTGCCTAAGGATATGTAAAACTTGGAAAAATACTGCCCGGGTGCATCTGGCTCCTGCGCCCCGCACCTCTGGGCCCGACCCCGATGCGCTCTACCTCACTTCTCATGCAGACACCAGCCCTGCTGTGCTCCCCTCGGTGTGGACATGTACCTGAGACCAAACTTATATCACTGCAGTATAAAAAGAGACAAGAGAGGTCCAGTTGCTAGCTTGATAGTCAACCTACAGTAACCCTGTTCTCTTCTCCCAAGTCTTGTGGCAGGGAAAATGCTCAGTCTTGACTCCTGTGAGAGGGGATCAGAAATCGGGTACAGGAGAAATGAGCTCTGTGACACTTGGACAGAAGAAGCGTCCCTAAAGTCAGGTCCTAATGTGTTATCAGAAGAAAGATTTGTTTCTCATATATTCCTCATATATTCATATATATTCTCATATATTCTGGGCCATCATGGCTACCACAACACTGCTCTTGCAAGAAGTCGTGTTTCACCCTGTTCCTATGCTCCTCAAGGTGTTTTCTACAGCATCTGTGGGACCCTTACTGAAGGGCTTCCCTGGCAGTAGAGCTGAACTTCAAGGAGTCTTTTGCTCTTCTGCGTTCCCTGGCTCTTGAAAGCTCCGCTTCAGAGAGATCAATTTATTATTTCTTCTTTCATCCCTATCATTCTAGTTATGAAGAAAAAAAAAAATCACTTGAGAAAAGACCTGTAAGAATTCAATAATAAAAACAACCCTTCCTGGTTGATGTCTCATAACAGCAGCGAGGGTTTTATGTACGGCTTTTTATGGGTCAAGCACAGACTGACTTCTTCCAGTAAGGGCCCATGGCTTTGCTTCAGGGACTTTACCTCACCTGGTCTTTATCTGAACTACAAAAGATGCCTTATCGCTTAAACAAAATACACTGACTGAAGGCAGAGCGGTCCCCCACCGCTCCTCTGATAGCATCTGGAATTTGTTGCTGCAGTACAGATGACTGGGAATTCATTTTTAAGCACAAGCTCTTGCCCTTTGTAGATAACAGCTATGTCAGTCCTTAAAAAATTTAGAGATACTATGGGCATCTTTGGAGACATGGAAAACATTGGCTTTAGAAAAAACAGATCCCCAAACCAGTCATTGTACCAAGCATTCAGAATCAACACACAATTTGCAACGGCAAGCTGCAAACTCAGGTATAACACATAGCTTGCAGTTTAAAATACTACAGGCTACGTCACGTGTTCAGCAACCCAAAAGAGTAGGAACAGCGCTTTCTTATGTTGTCGGGCCCGTAACAACCGATTACGTCAAAAGGCCGAGTTCTGCTTTGAACAAAAGAATGCTACTCGCATGGACCTCGTGCAAGGCCAAAACTGTGACCCCGAGGGTGCACACCCTCAGAGAAGTTCATTAATGAAAAGAATGTCACCAAAGTGACTGAGAAAATACTAAAACTCCTGAAATCACAGATGGAGGTGCCATACTACTTTGGTGGAGTAACATATTCAACAAAACTGCTGGGAATTTAGGATCATTCTCTGGTTATCTAACTCAACAGATCTACCTATTTCATCAAAAAACTAACCAGCTGAAGAAGCCCGCTTGCAAACTACCGAATTGGCTAATATCATCAGGTATTCAGATTACGACCACTAAAATTTAAATGGATATCTTCATTACTGAATCTTAGGTCATCTGTAAGACCCTTAATACAGAAGAAATGCACAAAAATAATGTAAGGTAAAAGGAAAAAGATTTCAGCAGCCATAAAACTAGTGTAAAACAGCAAAATTCAAAGGCTCCTAGCATTAGGAACAATATCTTTTTAAATGAAACAAATAATTTCAAAAGAATTAACTGCCTCTCACCAGTCTTGCTGAAACCTGAACTCCAGGGCATGCAGGAAGTGTTTCGTGCAACTGTTTCAGCTAGTGCCGTTTAGCTATTCAGGCTTTTGAGGACAACCCTGCTCTCCGTTATGTAACAAAAAACAATAGCCCAAGTTATATAAAGTCTTCATTCACTAGCTCTGTACAACACTTAGAACAGAGATCCTAGTAAGAATTCCTATAGAGATCTGCTTTCGTTAACGGCCAAGAGTAAAAACCTGGAGCCGCTGAAATAAACGGTAAGATGGAAGTCTATCGCTGACTGTGCTGGGCCAGGATTTCAAGTTAGCTCTCTCTACTAATAATACAAGACTGCAGGATATTAATGCCATTAATAGGAAAATTCTTGTGGTCTGAACATTTTGTCTCTCCCAATACAAATGCCTGCTCTATCAAATACTCTACAATTTCTTTTGAAGGCAGTAATGCTGCCATATATTTATGGAGTACTTTTCACACGAAAGAACTGTTCCCAAAGTACTTCGCAAAACACTTCGCAGCATATGGATAGATGATTTTACCCATCGCTAAAATGAAACCACCTCTGATACCGAATGCGGCATGCATTTAACTGTCTCAGCAATACAACCTAACAATTTAGAACAGTACGTGAATAATTTATATCAAAATCACAGGGGAAATTTTAGGTAGGCCAGAATATAAATCTGAGAATGGGAATTTTTCCAGGTAAGAAAAGACAGTGTACGCTTGCTTTTGCTGAGCGTGCCACCAGAGTCTTTGTAACGGTAAGTGGTCAGAACATCGATTTCCCGTCTCCCCCAAAGGCACTTCCTGCACCGGGCTGCCCCTAGCGCGGTGCTGAGGAGTCGGTTCAATAGTAAGCGCTGCCCTGCAACAACGGGATTGTTCTTAGAAGTCTCCAGTCCAAGCACTGCCCTGGTCAAATCAGGCTTGTTTTATGATATCAGATAACATGAATGAAATAAATCCGTGTAGCACAACTTCTTGCCAGGACATGTAGATAATTAAGCTGATGTGCAGTAAATATGTATATGCAGTACTCTGTTTTAAGTACTAAGCCCCAAAAGAAATATTTTCTATAAAGGATCGGGCTCATGTTCATCAGCACATATTTAAAAATGGTCTCTTGATTCTCATTTTATCTTCATTTTCAGAGTTCAGACAAAGAGCCTCACAACCATCAATCTGGACAAAAATAGGGCAATTCTTGTCCTATTTTTTTTTTTTTTTAAATTCGGTATCTCTTTTCTGGTTACTGTCATAGAGTATGAAATTCATGGCTAAGCCCACTTTCTGGTACCGACAAATCCTGGCTGGCTACAAGAACCTCTCTCAAGTCTTTCCTGGAAGGATGTCAGCATAAAGAATTACTTTTAGTTTACATTCTTCTCTGAGGAAGAGATGGAAAATTATGACAAAAATTGTTAGTTGAGAAATGCAATATAGTTCCACTTTATTCATAGCGAGCCAAGCACTGTAAATAATGTAAAGGAACGGCTTGGCTAGTTTTTCACTTTCTTTTAAACAGCAAGCATTGAATATCCATCACAGTTTCATGTAAGATTATACAAAGCCTTAAAATAATTCCTTCCAAAACTGCTAACATTTTTTGGGGGTATAATGTTTTGGCTACTTATCAGTAATGAAAATAGATATTAAAATTAATCTTCTGCATAATTAAAAGACCAAAATGTATATTAAAAGTACAGAGTTCAAAGTACAGTATACCACAAAACAAATAATAATCCTACAGTACAGGACTTGATGTTGTAAATCCTCATTTCAGTAGCCTTATTCCTCCACTTAACCAGTGAAGGAATTAAATTTGAGTTATGTAGTGGCTTAGGTTGGAGGGAGGGCAATCCAACTTGCATCAGCAGTAAAAAATCTGACATGTGAAAGGGAAGAATCAAGACACTAACAGAAATAGCATGATGAACCCTGGATGGTAAAGAGGCTGTTAAAATCCATTATGCGGATTCTGGGGAAATTATTTCCATATGCAGGGAATTAAATGCCATCCTTGTAAAAGGGTAAAAAAAATATAAAGAGGAAACTGTTTCCTGCTCAACCTTATTAGTGTATCTGTACTAACAACTGTTAAAAACCTTTCCAGTCTTCGAAGCATAAAACTAGAAAGCCAAAATGGCCTACTTGAGACTGAAACTCTTCTGAAAGCGGGAGTGTGGCCAGTGCAGGAGGAGAAGTCTAGGAGTATAGGAAGAAAACTGCATAACCTCCAAATAAAGTCAGATTTTGCTTTCAGCTGCTTTGTGGAACTCTAACAGGAGCCATATTTAAACTTCTGAGGACAGAATACAGTTCTAGAGGCTCCAGGATAATAGTACTTAAAATAGTTAAGGTATGGGGGAAATTATTAACAATATTAAAATACAGTCTTTCCATAGCCTCTTATTTATCAATAACACATTTGTATCCGAGGAAGGGTAATGTGGTACCCAAAAGCTTGTCTATACATTTGGTCCAATAAAAGATATCAAGATCATCACACAAATCCTTGCCCTTTCAAATGTTTTTAGTTTAATGCTGGCCGTTTTTTAATTCAGAAAGTACATCTCAAAACTGCAATAAAGGACTGCAAAGTTGTGGATTAAGGGAAACAACAGTCAGGTGCTGTTAACTATTAAATACACTAGGCATGTTATAACCAACCTTACACATTCTCTAGGATAGCTAAATGCAAATAATCCACTAATTTGAAAGATTTCCTTACTTAGGTTTCCACAAACACCAGATGAACAATGATCTCCCGTAAAAAATGAAGCAATGCCACAAATAAAAAAAAAAAAGGATGGGATGAACCAATTCATTTAATGCTAAAGTCATAACGTTAGAGAGGAAGTTAAAACCACAGATAAGAAATACTGCAGATTTTAAAAGCAATCACAGAAGGCTTTACATCTTATTTGTAGTCTATCAAATCTCTTATACACACCCTCAAAACACCTGGACTACTATGCATAGGGTTTTTTTCAAAAAAGAAAAAAAACCTATTGAAACAAAGAAGAGCAATGAAGTCTAGTAAGTAGGGAAGGACATTCGCTTATCTGATAACGTACATTACAACTTCACTTTGTAGTGGAAAGCAGATACATCATTAATAAGGCAGAAAGCAGGGTAGGAATACGTCTATAGACTAACAGAAATCAGTTTATAAGGTGCATCTCTACTCTGCCTTCTGCCTGTCCTGGGACTATTAATGAGTAAGAAGTAGAGAGTCTGGTGCGTGATTCTTGGAATTTCTGCCATTCAAAGGACATACAATTGCCCAACTCCTTGACCACTTGTGATAAAATCATTTTGTTATACTTGTCCAAAAAGCAAGGCTACAGGTTCAGTAGATTCATTCTCAACAGTTCGAAGACTGATGAATATAAACCTGGTTTCAAAGAAGCAGGTTGCTCAGGTAGCTGGATGACATCAGGAGAGTGACGTCCCATACGTCACGTGGCAACGATGTTCTGCAGACTGCCCCTAATCCCAGTGAAGCAAAGTACACCAGCTACTGATATGAAATGAACCAATCCCAGGATAGGTTTAGCAAATACCGTCTAATAAACTATCCCTTATATGAAGAAGTACATTAGGGGTTTTTTATGCCTCCACTTAATACGTTAGGATTAAGCATTTTCTGATCAAAGCAGTGGTGATCTGGCACAGACTAGATTCTTTCAGGGCATGAAGAAACAGGCCTGATTGGAAACAGAGCCCAAATAAGCTCTCTCCTCTTTCCTCAAGCTTAACACACAAAACCGTAATGTCAAGCACTTACCTGGTACAGGACTCTTTCTGGAATTTAAACTCGGAGACTCTGCAATTTCCTCTGGTTGTCCATCTGCTTCTGTGTCCTCTTTCTTTTGAGTATCTTTTACCTCTTCACTAACAGTAGTTCTTGTGCTCTCCTCTCCTTCTAAATCTCCCTGAATAACAGGGAGGGCACCAGGAGGTGGAAGAGGAGGAGGAGATGGAGAAGGAGGAGTTGTAGTGGTAACAGCAGCAGCAACAGAAACTGGAGGAGGAGATGGAGGAGTTGGAGGAGGGGTGGGAGGAGGAGAAGGAGCAGTGGGAAGAGCAATGACAGGTGGTACACTATCCACTTCTGCAGGTGGGGCTTCTGGTAGCTCCAATTCAACAGTCAATGGTGCTTCCTCCTGTTGGACTAGGTCTACTATACCTTCTGTAGCAGTCACTTTTTCACTAACTCCATTCATTTCATTAATTAGATTAGTACTAGCAGTCACTGGAATATCACTAGGCGCTACACTACTAGGCTCCTTGCACATTTCGACATCAGCTTCTTCTGTTGGTGAAGGATCTGGTGTTTCTGTGAAGGGTGCGGCATTGGATATAGGCATTGCTTCCTCTTTTGGGGAAGGTAGTTCCTCTCTCTCCTCTGAGTCAACTATGAGTGTAGATTTACTTGGTATGGTGACAGCAGCGGGAGGGGCAGCAGCAGCAGCAGGAGGGGCAGAAACCACCGCAACAGGAGCAACAGGGGGTGGCGAGGCAGCTGGAAGAACGTCTGGTGTTGTTTCTACCACAGCAGCCTCAGACGTCTGGCCAGCTTGATCTTTCTTCTCTCCGCTGGGCTCTGGTCTGAGGGCTGGGGAGGGAGATTTTAATACTGGATCTGGTTTTGGCTTCTCTTCTGAGGAAGGGAAAAAATAATATTACAATGACAGGTCCAGTTGATCAATTCAGATTTAACTAGCCACAGTTAGGCTTCTTTTAATTGCTTCACATGGTGTTCTGTCTATAATCCTAGTACCTCTATGAAAAAAGAGCTTCTTAGGAAAAAAACATAAGTAGTAGCTCAACTTAATATCTAAAATAAGAATCAAGACTATCTTGAAGCACTGAGAAACTGTAAGATCTTTACTGAAAAGAGTTTGCAATGAACAGAGTTCTTCACCAGGAAAGCGTGCTTTGCAAAGCTTAACCCTGGAGACAGGAGAGGCAGGAACTCCGGAAACCTTACAATGATTTTACTGCTCAAAACAGGACTCTTCTTCATCAAACCAGAGATTAAACATGAAACAAAAATAAAGCTAAGTTAAATAGTTGATATGAGGACAGAAGGGGTTACAATACTGGAACCCATTCTTACTCTAACTGTGACACCATTTGTAATGTTGGGTGGTTTACACCCTCTTTGTGCCATGTTTGCCCCTCTAACATGGCGATCTACTATTTGTTCACTTTAGTGATGTGTGGTGATCATTTTTTCCTTTAAGGATGCAAAGCACCAAGCTATTAGCAGCAGGTATGATAATATAGCTTGTTTTTTTGCTTGTTACATGAAGTCTTTATTCCTAAATTCCTGAGATGTTCAGGATGTCAGAAAAGAGGAAGAATTATTGTACTTTACTCTTACTCTATTATTTAAATTCCAGAAGTAAAAATGACGTCTTACTGCCAGAAAACAAGGTTTAAGCATGGAGAAAGGTTTGATCACATTTGGAGGTTTCCTGCTACAGGATAACAAGTTGGGGAAATCTGTATATTATAATGGAAAGCCATATAATAAAAGGCCTGGAAAATGCAGGCTGCATGCAGATTGGTTCCTCTACTTTCTCTGTGTCTAATAAGAGACGTTGATGTGTTTTGTGTCACAGCACTAAGACAAACCATTTTATCTTCTCTGAATGTTACTACTTAATTTAAAGGGCTTAAACTAGCATATCTATAAACTGGTTTACCTTCTGCCAACACTGACTGGATCAAATCAGGGAGATTATAAGATCTCATTTTAGCAGAACTTCTTCACTGTTATAGCTCTGTGCTATTATATTACAACATAGATAAGATTGGTATCACTTGGAGTAAAATATTATGTAGGTAAGGAAGACAGAATTATGCAAATCCAGGGAGGTGGACACTATTCCATCCAGCAAATGGAAAGCGTCCTGCTACTTTCTGAACAATACAACAGCAGGAGGAGGTGCAAAGAACTAGTCTGTCGCATTTATAGGACGGGGTACAATGGTTTGAGAACTATTAGGAACTTCCCTAAACCTCTATTCACATGATATATGGAAAGCGAGACCAAACTAATGCACTGTCAGGGGAAATCAGGTTTAACACAATTCTTTTTCTTATTACTCTTATAAAAACTTAGGATATCTTTACATTCTAATTCTATTTATTACAAGTCATTAAGAGCTAACTGGGATCTTCAAATGCTACAGTGGCTAGATGTAAAATGTTTCCACAAACCTGTCTATAGGAACTCCACCCTGAGAGATGACTATACTTTACCATGCTATATTAAGACACTTTCAAATCATTGCTATAACATCTGAAATGATGAAGGAAAGTTATAGTAGCATAGAACTGTAAGGCTCCTCTTTTCCTATAAAATACCAGAGGCAATTTGAACTCGCCCAGGTTTTTTCAAGATCCTGGCCATAACTACTTCTGTACTGATGTTTGAAATTATTATTACTCCTAGTAGCAGAAAAGGGGAAAGTATATAGAAGAAGATTCAACTTTCAACCTTCTTGAGTCAAAGCTGAAGTGGGAAAAGGTTGTGAAGGGAGAACCTGTTTGAATCTTAACTAATGCCTGCATGAATGAAAGGGTGCCATGTCATCCAGCTCACAGGGCTCCCATGGGTCTGCGGGGTGTCCAGCAGGACACGGTCCTGTGCGCTAGTCTGGGCATGCAGGATGGCCTGGGGCCCAATCCAGCTATTGGACTGGCCCTGCATACCTCCTCTGGCCCACAGAGCCTAAAGCACTCTGACGTAGCTGGCTAGAATTAGAGCGGTGAAGAGCAAAAACGGTGCTTTACCAGGGACATTTGCTTTTAGATAGGAACTTCAGGAATGCGCTAACACCAATAAAAGGAAATTACCTTTGGGGATGTTCTACAAGATCATGTAACAGGATGGAAGGAAACTCCTTAAGCAACTTCCAAGAAAGCTTAAAAAAAACAAGCAAGCAAGCAACCAAACAAAAACCCCAAGAAAGCAAGCTTAGGTCTCCTCTTCCTGGGGACTCAAAACCCTGCAGACAACTGATAGACTGTTCTGACATTCACAAATTGTCATAGATGTTTGCCCAGATAGTCTCCCCTTAATGGTCCCAAATACAGACCATTAAGAAATGTAATCTGAAGTGACAGGAAGAGTCATTTTAAGAGACAGCAACAGTGAAATATACAAAACCGGGTTTTTAACCTAGGATTACCATGTGATGACCCGTGAGCCACTTTCCTCTGAGCAGAATTACAGCAGGCTCTTATTACAGCACTCACATGAAACAATGTACAATTAAGAAGGAAAAACAAAAATTAAGACTGTTCTTCAAAAAAATCATCAAATGCAATAACCCTTGACTCTTAAAACGCCCTAAATGTGCAAGGACAGTCCCTGAAGTTATATTCAGAAAGTACTTCTTGGAGGTACTGAGTTTCAAAGGAAGAAATGTTTTTCCTTTCATAAACAATTTTGTTTGCAAGATATAAAGCTATGCTCTGCGGACCTGGGTAATTTCTCAGAGTTCATACAAAACACTGTAGATTCTATTTTAAGGCCAAGTTTCAGGAAACATTTCCTGATTTTTCTCCCCCTTTTTCTATCACAGAGATTGGGAAAATTGGGGGGGGGGAAGGGGGGGGAGGAGGCTGGAGAAGGAGAGAGCAGATAGGAGCTGTGCAGATGGAGTGGAAGCTGACTGGGAGGTTGGTATGAAGTTCAGGTAGAGGAAAGAAGGGGAGAGAGGAGGCAAAAGGTCTGGAATTATTCTGAGAACTTCTGCATCTTGCTGTCTCTTTCATCCCAAAGACATGAGACAGGAGAAAGGAGTGTGGAGGATACGGGTGTTTTGTGGTGGCAAAGACTGCAACGGCTCCAGTGGGTGGATCAGATCTCAGCAGACTCAGACAGTCAGTCACCTGTACTTCAGGATGCTCAGCTAAACACAATCTCTGGATCTGTTCAAAATTTCCATCGTTTGATCTGATGTAAATGCTAGCAATGTAGTGCTGATGCAGCTTTGTACGTAGTTCAGGAACACAACAGGTGCTAAAATGGGGTAGAATGAATGAGGTACTTTTTTGCTTCCGTCACCTGTATTACTCCAATTTCCCAAAGTGACGACTGTATTTTCTTGCATACAATGCACACCTTTCCCTTCCAGAACCAGCTGCTGGAAATGGGGGTGCACATTATAAGCAAGGAAATACGATGACAGGGAACAGAACAAGGAGCAGATTCAGTTGCCTAGCTGCTCGCTGCTAATCAGTTACTTCCTACAAGGAAAGATCTTTTTTTCTTCATTCGGCCTTTCAGAAAGAAGATGTGAATCTTACTCCTGGGCATGCTGTATGTGAAAGAACTATGGTACATATGATCTCAAAATGGAGAAGAGTGTTAAAAATCTTGGAGACGTGATTAGAAACTTCTCTGAACCTGGACAACCTCTCCAATCTCTGGCTGAATTTGGCAGCTCAGTTTCCAATTATGCCCCATAATAATTTTTGCAATAGTAAAAGTCACATTGAGGGTCCTGTGTATTTGATGCAAGCTCAAACTAAATTCTGTATCAATATTCAGGAGCAATATCAGGAAAACTTCTTCACTGTTAGAGCAGTGAAGCAAAGGAACAGACTGCCTAGGCAAGTTGTAGAACTGCTATCATTGGAGCTTTTTAAGAATTTGGACAAGCGTTGGTCACAGATGATCTAGGAGTAGTTATGCCTATCCTATCATATCCTAGGGGTATTTCCAATGCTTCTGAGCTTTGCTGGTTGCCATACGAAGCCAGGAAGAATCCTCCCCTGCCCTTGCTACAGGGGTCAGGGTTACTGTATCAGAACGGTAGTAGCTTACACCAGCTCTGAACTTATGTAAGTAAAATGCAGAAGGTGCAGGCCACCACAGAATCAACTCCATGATATTCAGCTGCTGGGCATAAAGTTGCAGTGAAATAGTGGAATACGTTTTAATACTATGTTTATGAAATCAATACAAAACTGTATAAGAACTCTAATTTCAGTAAAAAGTGACTGGAAGCATACTCTGGTAATGACAGAACGTAAGAATTAAGGAGATCTTTCTTTGGTATATGTTTATAGAAGACCACCCTCTAATGTTGCTGTGAAGACCTAGATTAAGTAATCACAGCAATGTATGAACATTTTTGTCATCTTTAATTTGTTCCCAATTGTGGCTCTGGTGGATATTTCAACTGAGCACTAATTCTCATGCTCTTGGTTGCTGATTTTAGTGACTATTTTATTAATCTGTTTCCTTCTTTAATATTGCTCTGTATTGCTTTAGTAATTTTGATATTTAGTGCCTTTTTAGACAACAGTAAATGCTGGATTCTCTTTCTGGTATATAATCTGAGGACTTTTCTACAGAGGCAATGTATGCCACTAATGTCTAAATTTAAACCAGTGTAATTATACTCACATAGCCCCCCCCCATGGAGACAATCTTTTTTCATTTTAAGAAAGTGCCCTTTTTAGTTTAGGCTACGTGGCACAGAAAGGGTTTTAAGCTAACCTAAAAAAGCCACCCTTCTACTGGAATAAGAATGGCAGCCTGGAGTGTTATGCTGATAACTAGGGATCCTGGGTTTCTCCGATTTAAAAAAATCCCCCATTTTCGGTTAAAAAAAAAAAAGTAACCCCAAATCCACATTTTTCCACGATTAAAACGAAACACCACCATATACATATCTATATATCTTTAAATCAGAGAAAAATGTGGATTTGGGGTTACTTTTTCTTCACTGAAAATTGGGGATTCTTTTAAATCAGAGAAAACCAGGATCCCTGCTGATAACTAGATCGGAAATCTCGTCAAGTGTGAGGGAGTGTTCCCAATAATGGTTTGTGCCCTGGAGTTTCATGAGCAGAGCCTCAAGTTCAGACCCAGAAGGACTGACAAGTGCAAATCAATTTGATGACTGCAACAGTCATGGTTCACATTACAAAACCACTACACAATCCTGCTTAGAAAAGGTCTGAGACACCTAGCAAGACTGATGGCCAGGACAAGAGCATTTTGGCAAAGATGGGAAGTGGGCCCAGACGTGAAACAGAAATTGCAGCTGATGTCAGGAGTAAAGTGCGGTGATAAGCCTTTGTGGTATGTCTGGCCAGCACAATCAGTGTAAGAGTCACATGCGAGTTACATTTCTATATAACTGTGTAAGAAAGGAAGGCATAGTAATAACCTGCATTAATATTCATGAATATATTTCATTGAGGCAAAAATAAACCTCAAAGGTATTCCTGCCAGTAAGTAATATTTTCAGAGTTTTACCATTAGCTTCAGGGACATTTTACTTCACTTCTGTCAAATCAGTGGTCATGCTGGTACTTGGCTATACGACATTTCTGAAATATCAGAAGCCAGTTTCTTTGGCCTCTCTGGCTAGAGTTCAATATCTCTGGTGGTTAGATTTTCTTCTTGCAGCAAGTCCTTTTTAAAAATCTCCTTAGTCAAAAGGTTGACAGGAAAAGTATCAAGAAAAAGGTGGTGCTTTGCAACTTCAAGTACACCCTGCTGTAGGCAGGAAGCGAAGTACCGTAACACAATGAATAAACATGAGGAGAACGGGAAAATCAGCCCTGCGTTAACAGCACCAGTACACTGTATGCTGTGGGAGTGTGCATATTATAAATTCTAGCCTTAAAGTTTTATAACCAGATATTAAATTTTACCACGGGAAGAAATCTGGGGCACAGTGTTTCAAGTCCAGGGAGATTGTTTTAAAAGACAAATTTTTATTGTTTAGGCTATGAGAAAAGCAATTGTTTTAAGACATTTTACCTGGGCAACTGGAAAAGTACTATACAGAACGTGACATTTGGTAATCACACAGTCTATACAATTGCAGCCCAATTTATTTTATTAATCTATTCTACAGATGGACAGAGGTAAGCAACCCTGCCAGGCCATGCTTGAGTGTGAACAAGCTTCAGAGAAGTAGCCATTTCATCCATGGTCATTTGGGGAGTGTTTTGGCCATTTTCAGACTGTTTACAGGGCACTTATGTCTGCCTACTTGCTATCTGAAACCCTTCAAAAGCATCTGAGCGCTTCAGATGTTACATCTGTCTAGGACCTCTGTAGGTAATACATCAATTTTGTTAAAGGCTCAAAGGGAAAATGCAAGAAAACCAACCCTAGTGTCTTGCAATGGAGACCCTGCTGACCTACTGGCTTACAAAAAGTTAAACTAATGACAGAGAAATAATATTACTAACAACACCACGGAGAAAATATCCATGAACAAACCTTGTTTCGGGTCGCTAGTCGCAGTAACTGTGGTGGTGGCAGCGAGAGGAGTGCTCTCAACAGTCGCATAAACCACAGGGCTGTGCTCTGGGACCTGGCTGGACAGCTGCTGGGATTTGAAGTACAAAAAAGGGTGATAATGAGCGTGCGAACATAAAAACTAGCAACATGGAACGCAAGCAAGCAAGTGGGGGAGACAAGAGTAAGGGGGGGAGAGAAAAGAAAAGCAAAAAAGGCAGGAAAAAAATATACACAGACCGATTGAATAAATTTAAAAAGTACATGGGAAGGGAGAAAGGAAAAAGGCAGCAGGAAAGGGGGAAAAAAAGACAATTACTATTAACAGCAGCAAGAAAAGATAGCACAGCATAGTCATTCACATACTTCAGACTTCTATGGTTCTCACTAGACCAGCAAAAATGCTCCTAAAAACAGTGAGCAAACTGGTGTACAACCTGACCACCAAAAATGATTAGCTATTTCAAATACCTTTAATATTTTTAAACAGTGTTAGAAAGCAGCAAACTGCAATTAAAAACACAAAAATCACGAGACAAAATCTAGACTGATTTCAAAATGGTCATTCCAATGAGCTATATACTTGCTGGTTCACTAAAAGACAGCAAATGCGCTAATATTTCTAATCAAAAACTTTCAAAAGACAATATAGACTAGACACACTTGCATGTGACCATTTGAAAAAAGATACCGAATGCTTTCCAGACAAGAGGTGCACGTATGATTTCCCTTGTTCACTAATGAAATGAGAAATACAATATTTTGCTTTATTCTCCAGGGTGCACAGGAATAGCTGGTTCTCACTCAGCTAAGAGAGGACCTGGCAATATTTACCTATTTAGGAATAAGAGTGCAAGGCTAGAAAGCAACCTGATCTAACCTGAAGAAATTTCAGCTATTTTTAAGAGGGAAAAAATATCTCGATCTTCACCACAACCAGTGCAACTTTGGCACAACATTCAAAGCAGATGCTCTTTGGATTTGGGAGTATTTTTGTGGAGGTTACATAAAGCCACAGAAGCCAGGATTTCCCCAAAGAAACCTAACAGAGACTTTTCATGAAAATATAAATAATTGTACTAAATTTTTTAGGACAAGGCTGCACTGCTGCCATACAGCTAGACTGGAGGATGCTATAAAGTTTTCATACGAGTAAATTCCACTTAAAAACACAAGTTTATATATATATAAACATTTTTTTAAAAGAGAGAAAGGACATGTGGCTTATAGCAAAAATGAAAACGACTGTTGCTTGGCAATATACATTTTGCAATACAGGATCACACCGTTTTGCAATGTAAACCTCCCATGGAGCCACTCTCAGTGACCTTTAGAAACATCTATACTAGAAGCTGGGGCTCTTACGGGAGCTGAAGGAAGTCAGGTGTCTTACTTCCACCCACATGGGATAAGTGACTAATTCCCTTCAGCTTTTTAAAGAAAGAAATCTTTCTGGCACCTAAAAAAGCTTCTCTTTGGTCTCGTTTTGGACTGTGAGCATTATGGCACCAAAGCAGCAGCGGACAACAGAAGCTAATGGATAAATGTAGACAGAAAGTCACACCACCCGCTACCCTGAAGAGAAGTTGTGACGTGCAAGCTGTGCTGCTGGAGTCTTTATCAGCAAGAGGTATAGATTTAAAAACCCTCACTTACATTGAAAACTAAGTGATAGGGGCTTTTTCCCTCCTTAAAAATAAATCACACCCCTTAAGGAAACAGAGATGAAACCCAGACGACTGACGCAACAAACTCATCTTGGAAACCCACTGGCTGAGCTGTGTCCCCATTTAACAGAGGAGGAAACGGAGGTACGGAG